TGGCTCTTAAAAATTTTACCTTTTAAAAAGATAACTGACATTTTTAAATCTATACTCCAAAATATCTTTTTTTTTTTTTTCCTGGTAGCAGGGATCAAACTCAAGGGCACYTCATCACTGAGTCACATCCCCAACCCTTTTTTGTATTTTATTTAGAGATAGGTTCTCACTGAATTGCTTAGTGCCTCGTTAATTTGCTGAAGCTGGCTTTGAACTCATGATCTTCCTGCCTCAGCCTCCCCAGCTGCTGGGATTACAGGCATGTGCCATAGCTCCCAGCTCTCCAATGTCTTTAAGAAACTACCACTTGTCAAGTTTTAGCATTACCTCAAGAAATAATACCTACAATTATCTAAAAATTCTTCCTTTGCCAAATGTATACCTCAGAGAGGCTGAATTTTCATCATACACACAAAAACGTATCATTCGGCATATAAGCACATGAGAATCCAGCTGTCCTCTATTGAGCTAAAACTAAAACAATGTCACTCTTGGTATTAGGGTTTTCTAGAGAAACAGAATCCACAGGAAGTATAATTATAAAAAGGGGACTTATTAGGTTGGCTTATGTGACCAGAAGCTGGATAGTTCATAATGGCCATCTGCAGGCTGGAGTGCTAGAAGAACCAGGAGCTGCATAATCCAAGAGGCTGAAGCCCCAGAACAAGAGAGCTCAACTGTGCTACCCTAGTCAAAGGCTTCTGAAGAATTACTGAGTCCACTTAAGAAGAGTGAAGAAGAGTCCAAAATAGAACAAGAGAGCTCAACTGTGCTACCCTAGTCAAAGGCTTCTGAAGAATCACTGAGTCCACTTTAGAAGAGTGAAGAAGAGTCCAATATTCTCAGACGATTGCAGTAGCAATCAGAATCCATTCTACAAGAACCCAGCTTGCATCTGCTGCTGCTTCCTTGTTCTTCCAATTTTTATTCCATCCAAGTCATCATCTTATTGGTTGGTGCTGCCCACGCTTAGGGAGGGTCTCCATTCCAGTTGGCTATCCCACATGCCAATCATTCCTAGACACACCCATAAATCAATCCTAGACATCTCTTAATCCAAATTCACAATTCAAATTAACCGTTACACTCTTCTAACCAAATTTTAATTATTTTTCAAGAGGTGTTACACTAGCATATAGTGTGTGTGTGTGTGTATACACTATATAGTATATATATATATATATATTATATATATATATATATATAGTATGTATATATAGTTATTATTTTAAATGAATTAATGTTTTACAATTTTTGTTTTAATTTTTAACATGGTAACAAAATGTTAAACGTGCATAAACACAAGTTCTTTGGGTTCCTTAATTTTTAGAATTGTAAAAGGGATTTTGAGATAAACAAATTCAATTGTGTTATTATGCACTCATTGATTTTATATATTGTAGGGGATATTCACTAAAATGTTAACATTTCTAGAAAAATTTTTGAGATCCATCTTTAAAGTTGATGGTGTTCTTTGACTTATGGAATAGTGATACCGCCGGTTATCAGTGATGAGTTCTGCTTCCTCACATGTTGAAGTTTGAATATTAGAGAAGCACGCCAAAGCAAGCATATAAAGCAGGGATTATTTAAAAAGGGGTAACAGACTTCTCCTGGAAGGGAGAAGGCCCCCTTCGGGGCCATAGCTGGTATCCTGGTATCCCAAGAAGCAAGGAGTTCTGCCCTTTTTATATGTCCTTCCTTTGTTCTCCTGCCCTTTCTCTTCTCCTTGCCTCATTCCTAGACACACTCTCCAGGCCTAGGAAATGCTCATAGGAAATGCTTGGTGGGCTAGCCAAAATGTGCAAAAAGGTAGGCTAAAGAGGGAAGGGCAGCCCAGGACACATTCATTAAATTATAGACTTCCCGGAATGACTCAAAATTGTCCTTCTTGACCCAACCTGACTCGATTTACCTATCTATATGACTGCCTAATTCTGGCTTCAGTATCAACAGGTAGTTTCTTAGAACTCTAGACCCAGAAATTGAGCTCTTTTCAGAAAAAATGTGAAAAACAAAAACAAAAGTCTAACAAATGATTACATAGTTCCCCTTATTTAGGTTAAAAGGGTGAAGAAACATTCTTTCTAAACACAAGAAAGTAGACAACTGACATATAATATCAAGAAAAAGATACATGTTCTGGAGGCTCTCCTACATGGACCATACACAATTCAGTCTACCACTTATTATCTCCAGCAGTCTACATCATTTCACTGAGTCTTGATTTCCATGTTTATAATTTATAAAAGGGATATTGTATCTTATATAGCTTTAATAATTTTTTTATTTTTTGGTGGATACAACATCTTTATTTTTATGTGGTGCTAAGGATTGAACCCAGCGCCCCACGCATGCCAGGCAAGCGCGCTACCGCTTGAGCCACATCCCCAGCCCCTAGCTTTAATAATTAAATAAGGCAATATATAAACCTAACAAAGCATCTGACATTCATCTATCTGCTCAACATGATGAGCATCTATTAGGACACAGACCAACATTAAGAGTACAAAAGGGGTAAGAGAATAAAACCTTATAAGATGTAGGCATGTGTGAGGATTCAGCACATGGATAAAATATGAAYGACATCATTTATATAGTTCATTTTTGTGACAATAGGCCCAACATAAACAACTTAAGAACAGGAAAGGTTTGGGCTTGTAGTCACACAGGTTTCAATTCTCCATTGCTTGGCCCTGTCGCACCACAATACATCTTGGTGGAGTGCATGGTAGATGAGGCCAGTTCACCTCATAGTAGCTAGGATGCAACAAAAGAGGAAGGAGCCAGGGTTCCAACATCCCTTCTAAGGCATGCTCCCAGTGAGATAATTTCCTTCTTCTAGGACCAACCTCCTTTCTACATACCTCCTCATTGCACCACAGCTGACAACCAAGCCTTTAACATGTGGGCCTTAGGGTGACACTCCAGATCAAAATTATGGCAATTTTTAAATGTAGTTAGCTAAAGAAAAACCAAATAAGATAAGCACTTAAGTAGAACTCAAAAGTTACTTATAAGTCCATGCAATTTTTAAAAACATCAATACAGCTTCACAGGACAGTTCAGAAAGCATAGGCTAAGAAGTCAGGTGAGACCCATATTCAAATTTTATTTTGTGGAGTTGCAGAAAAGATTAGAGCTAATGTCCTTTAAAGTACCAACCACCTTATATTAGTTTTAAGTCACCATAACAAAGTCCCACAATCTGGGTGGCTTAAATAACAGAAATTTTCTCATAGTTCTTTCTTGTAGCTATAAGTTTTAAAATCCAGGTGTTGGCAGGCTTGGTTTCTTCTAAGGCTTCTTCTTGGCTTGTTAAGTAGCCATCTTTTCCAATATCTTCAGGTGGTCTTCATTTTGTGTGCCTGTTTTAAAATCTCCTTTTCTTTGAGGCTGTCGATTAGAACTCACCTATATTATCATATTTCACCTTAATTACCTCTTTTAGGGCCCTATTTCCAAAAACAGTCTCATTCTGAAGTACTGAGTATTAGAACTTAAGAATTTCAAAGGGGTAAAATTCAGCCCAGAGCACATTTCAATTATTTAAAACACCTCTGACTCTGCGTGGCACACAGTGGTTCCTTGATATATAGCAGCTATTATATTAAGCAAAAAGCAAAATAAAAGATTTAATAACATTTTATAATAACAAGAGGGATTGTTTTTCCAAGGGTGGGGAAATTTTTGTTTTGCTTGTAGTGCTATGGATCAAATCTAGGGCCTGGCACATTCTAAGCAAGTTCTCTACCACCTGGCTATATCCCAACTCAAGATTAGTTCTATGATTTAGATACACTGGTTATTTGACTAAAGAACTTCATCTGACTCCTCAAAAGAGCTGATTAACTCTTCAGGCATGGTAACATTCAGAATAAAAGAAAAATTAACAATGTTTTGTATCTATTAACTTTTAGGGGGTTGCTAGGATACATCTGTAATTCTTGTAGTTCTAGGTCTGAGATACAGGTGTTGAAGAACCAATCATTCCTTTTTCAAATTTTATATGGCTTGCAATGTTCAACAAGAGCTTAAAGGCTTTTTGGCAAAGACTAACATATAACCTATTTTTCTTTTATGAGAGTAATGTACAAAGAGTACCTTTGATTATACTCCTGCAAATAGGACATTTTCCTACAGAAGGAGCACATTCCTGGAATACTACCAGATAACCACAGAAAAATCCTTACTTAGCTACTCAGGAGGCTAAGGCAGGAGGACTGCAAAATCTGACAGGAAACACAGTGAGACACTGTTTCAAAATAAAAAGTAAAATGGGATGGGAATGTAGCTCAGAGGCAGAGGACCCAAATTCAATCCCCAGTACCTCAAAAATAAATAAATAAATAAAACTTAAGGCATAAAAAATTCACTTTACATTCCTTCTATATAATGAGACTTTCTCTTACTGGATATGAGGTCTTGAACCTAGATGTATGCATCTGCATTTACAGACATGTATCAGAACATTAAGAGGGAAACAAATGCAAGAGAAGAAACTGGAGGATGGAGAAATTTTCACCCACCCTTCTCAGCATATTCTCCATTTGAAGAAATCTAAAAGACTAGTGGAGAAAGGAAAATGGAGTTTTTAAAAACTAAACCTCCTATCTACCTCACCTCCAAAGTCTGTCAGAGTTAGATGTAAGAAAGGTCAAATAGGCTTGTGCCAAAAAGGAGGTACCTACAGTTGTCCATTTCCTATCTGCTCACCCTATCAACACCTATGCAACAAAGCTATTTTTTATTTTAAAAAAATAAATGTAGATTTATCTAATTTTACTAAGAGTTTCTGATAATGATTCAGTTTTAATCCAACATTTTATCTATATTATAGAAAGCAACTATATTGTCTTTTAAGGGAATTCCCATGAATCATATTTAAAAAACAATAATTTGTTTCATGAATTCAATTTTTTACTTCATAGCAAATGAGTAAACACAGATGAAAATTACTTTTTATAATAGGGTAAAAGAAATAAATTTTGATGATACAATAATTATAAAGCATTTTATTGTTTCTCACAGGTTAGGGGAAATATTGTTTATCAGTAACAGAAAAATCCTTACTTAACAAAACAAGTAAAAAGCACCAAAGAATCTGTCAACAACTCTGATGAATTCCAGTGTTACTAATTTACAGTTTTTCAACTATACTGTAATGTAGTACTCAAAGCTTTCATAAATACCAAATCCAGTAACTCCTGAAATGACCCATAACAACACTGACACTACTCCTTTAATTCTTCCTGTGTTCACACTTACATACTGATTTAGTTCATGAAAAACAAGTCTTCTCTTAAAACTAAACGGATTAAGATTAAATATACAATACTATCTCTTTTTGAAATAAGATTATTCATACCTAAATAGAATAGAACATAAATGTTACTAAATAAAGAACCAAACATTCCTTGTTTTAATTTTAGATGGCTTGCAATGTTCAACAACACCTTAAAGGCTTTTTGGTAAAGACTAAAATATAGCCTATTCTTTTATGAGAGAAATGTACGAACAGTACCCTTGATTATACCCCTGCAAATAGGACATTTTCTTAGAGACGGGGCACACTCCTGGCATACTACCAGATGACCACAAGGAATGAACACAATAGAAACTTCTTTGTCCATACACACTTTGCAGGTTCTTTCTTCTTGTAATCTCCTCAACTGTTCTTCTAGTGACAGACCTAATAACAAAAAGAACTTTAGTGAAATTCAGTTTTCACTTTACATCTGATACAAAAAAAAGGTTAATATTTCACATTGGTTTTAAGTCTTAAATCTATTTTACCTGAAACATCTTCTGTTGGAATATACTTCATATTCTTTTCCACTGAGGAAAGAAAAGCATACAAAAATCATCATTCTATGAAGGTAAATACAAAACTGTTTAATTTTTTTTTCACATACTATCCAATGAACGATACAAATATCATTACAGAAAGCTATATATTATCAAGAACTATTACATTTAGGTATATTACTTGGACAATAAAAGACACCCCCTTTGGTGCAGAAGTTAAATTTTTTAATTGGATTTATTCTGCTTGTCAGAAACATTAACATAATACTAAGGATTTCTTAAAATGATTTTCCCAACAAACTCACCAAATAAGTTCTCATATAATGTAGAGTCAATTTCCTTTAGACAGTTTTTGAAGATGTTGGCTGCAGCATTTCCTTTAACTAAAATGGTATCAATCAGTTCTCTTGCTTGTAAAGGTATCTGTGTTTTTTGTTTAATAATATCATGCTCCTGTTTATTAATTACGTTGGCCTTTAAAAGATTATCCAAGATAGGAAGGACACATGTCAACTGTTGAAAAAGAGCCATTCTATTCTTCCGTATTAATGACAAATCATCTTTATTTTAAAAAAGAAAGAAAAAAAATCCATTAAACTCCTCCACTACAATCACATAGTCATTAACAACTAACCCTACTGAACAGGGCTTGAAAAAGAACAAAATGACTTATTTGCATTCTAAAGTCTGTCATTTGGAAAACTTCCAGAAGATTATAAAACAGTAGAGAAAATAAGGGTCTCTATTTCTATAATTTTAAAGTTGAGATACTAACATATTAGAACCCCGTTTTCTTTATTCTGTTGACAGTAAGCAGCAAATATAAAGGTAGTAAATGATTCTCACCTCTGAATTTGTCTCACCATGGAATCAATAATACTTCTATTTACATTATATCACTTTACTTTTTTTAAGCATTCGAATATCAATTGTTTCATCTGATACATATACCCTAACAATCAAACAAGGCAAGTATTACTGCCTTCCATTTTTAGATAGAGAAAAAGACTCAGAAAAGAATGAGTGGCTTGTCCAAAATAAGCTGCAAAACCAGGTGTCTTAGACCAGTGGTTCTTTTAAACATCTTATACTCAGAAAGCAGAACTATAATTTTGCAGAGCTTCAGCTACAAAGTCAAGATAAGACTTAGGTTCCCATGCAAGCTTAGCCACTTACTGGCCAAGTTCTCTAACATCCCCATCCATATACCTCAATCAATTTCCTCATCTGTAAATACAAATAACGGTCTATTGGAGTTTGTTTTGAGGATTAATGTACAAAAAGAATTTAGTACAATATCTGGCACATAGTTGGCTGTTTTTTTTTTTAATAAACTATCTACATTTATAGAAATTTTAAAATAAATTACGTATGAATCAAGCTTGATTTTATTAAAAAGCAAATGTTTCTCCTTTAATCTCAAATCACATAAAATTTCATAAGTAATTTACTATTATGGAATATAAGTTGCTATAGTATTATTCATAATTCTTCCTTTCGCAGCCCCAATCACTATAAAGCTGCTTATTTTCAGACTTAAAACATTTTTTTAAAGTACACTGCTATAAGGTATAAATCTCACTAGAAATAAATTATAAAAAGTCCAGTTTCCTTCCCCATTTACAACTTTCTAGAAACAAACAGATCTATTCATTTTAAAACTATGAAATTTCCTTTTCTGACCACAACCTGTGCCTCACTGCTAACAAATTTGTTTTTTATTTTTTCAAAATCCCCACATCATTCCCAATTCTACTAGCACAAGAGCGGTCTCTTGGTTTTATTTCCCATTCCAATCTACAGATCAGTTAGGTTATTCCAATGATGCTCTCTGATTAGCACACTTAGCTCTTTACCCTGTTCCTTATTTGACCTTTCACATACTAACCTTCCCATATCCATAATTCAAGACTATTCTGAAACATACACAAAGTTGGAGACACAAAATTAAGGTAAGTACACTGACAACAGTAATTCTACATGAGCTTAACTGCTTTATAATCCTTAAATCTTTTCACTTTCCTCAGATCCTTTCTTTTACCAGCCACTAGTACTTTCCAAATCAATATACTTAAAAAAGATGGGCTGCATGTGCACTTCAGTGGTAGTGTTGTATATTTGGCATGCATGAAGCTGTGGATTCAATTGCTAGCACCAAAACAACAATAAAAAATTAACATAAGGGCTGGGGATGTGGCTCAAGCGGTAGCGCGCCCGTCTGGCATGCATGCGGCCTGGGTTCGATCCTCAGCACCACATACAAACAAAGATGTTGTGTCTGCCGAAAACTAAGAAATAAAATATTAAAATTCTCTCTCTCTCCTCAGAGGAAAAACAAAAAATTAACAGAAAAGAAATTTTATGTGCCAGGCACTGTGCTCAAGTATTTTACTAGAAATATCTCATTTAATTCCTACAGTACCCCTGTGGGATAGGTACTATTACTGTCCATATTTTACAGATCAGAAAGCTGGCTTATAGCTGAACAAACTGCTAACCTAGTAACTGAAAAAAGCCAGAATTTAAACAAATCTATTTCAATTCACGGGTCTTAAACATTTTGCTCCATGGCCACACAATAAGGGTGTCTTAAATTATTCCTAACTACTTTACAAACTTAAAAAGAACAGTCTCTTACAACCCAATACTGCAATTTAAACTACATTATGCAACATTTATCTTTCTTAGCTCTTTAATCCTGTCGTTTGCATATGATTCTTCCCAGCTAATCTACATGCTCCTTGAGAACAATCACCAAGATTAGCACAGTATTAGCACTGCTGTTTATATGCAACAAATACTGGTTTAAGAAATACATGATTACTTGTTCTGAGAGGCTGAGACTTAAAACAATCTAGATGAATACCAAAATCAGTTCCATACCATCCTCAGGTTGGGCAGAGGGCTCTCATCAAACCCTAGGATTTCTTTCTAAGTTCCCTTGTTTAGGAGATCCTTTTATATGTATAAAAGGATCTCCTAAACAAGGGTTGGTGAGAAAAATATATTAAGAATATTATTTGAAGGAACTTTTTTAAAAAGTAGAAGTAATATCTGCAGCCAATTTTAAAATCTTGCCTTTAAAAATGATTAAAATTTGTTATGTATGAAGAAGAAATACAATATTGCTCAAGAAAAGAGCTTTTGTTAAAAATTCTGATTAGTATAACTTAGAGAATCTTAACAGGAAATAATCATACAGAAAAATGCCATAGTCAGTGGTTTTCAAGTAGATGCAACTGAGAGAGGTAGTAGAGAAGATACAGTTTAGAAACGCCTAAGAATTGTTACCAGTAGTAAGTGGGTACGAGAAAAGGATGCTGTCCTGCATCATGAGTCAGTGAGTAACTTCACTGAAAAATAATGTAGATAATTAACATTCCAAAATACCTGATGCCATTTCTTCAGCTTGTCTTTCCTTCTCCTCTTCTCTTCTTTCATCTTCAGCATCAAGAAGTGCTGATACAATATCATTAACTGTTTTATAATTCTCTCCAGTGGTTAGGATTTTACTTTGAACTGTCTGTTTTACCAGACTTCTACTAAAGCCCATTTCCAAAGCAGATTTAACCACAGGTGTATTCATCATGACTGCATCTTCTGAAGAACTTTCTCCAGGTCCCAAATGAACAACTATTAGAAAAGACATTTGCTAATATTAAATTCCACATAAGGTATTAAATTCCATAAACTATGGGGGGAAAAAATGACTATGACATAACCTTTATTCTCACATCCTGGTCAGGAAGATGAATTATATGCATCAATTTACCTATAACTCTATTAAAAATCTGAACTCTATAATGGCTAATATGGTATACCTTTTAAAAATACCACTTCCCAGACTACAACCTAGACCTATTTAATGAAGGACTCTCTAGGAAAAAAAGGCTGAAGAATTTGAATTTTTCTTTTTTGTTTTCTTCCAGTATGGAGGATTGAATCCAGGGGTGCTCTACCACTTTATCACACCCCCAGCTCTTTTTATTTGAGAGAGGGTCTGGTTAAGTTGCCCAGGTTGGCCTCAAATTTGCAATCCTCCTGCTTCAGCCTTCTGAGTCACTGGGATTACAGGCCTCTGTCACCATATCTGAGAAAGGAATTTTACGGTTTAAAAATTCACCCAAATGATTCTTATATTCATTTTTGGAAAACAATATGCTATAAAAACAAAAGTGAAAAATTATCTCCAGGCACTTGCCAAGTATGCATGAGGCCCTTCGTTCAACCCTTACATCCCCCCCCCCCGCAAAAAAAAGAGTATGCACAGGAAGAATAAAAAGAAACTATCTAGCTTGTGGATAGCTGGAACCAAATAATATAAAATGAAAAAGTATAATAAAATAGAAAACTGGTTCACCCAAAAATGTGTGTAAAGTAGTAATAAAAAATGTGGTTAAAACAGTAAGCAAGTAATATGGTTTTATATAGAAACAGATTCTCTGAAGGAAAAAATTAATAAGTGATTAAAAAAGAAAGTAGGAGGCAGGAGGCCATTTAGAGAGGGTAGTTGGGGAAGCATTTTCTGGTAACAGGGTAAATGCTAGTTCATATGGCATTTTGTGAAATTACAGCCATACTTCTTCGAGAAACTGTACTGCCATCTGCTGGAAAATTGTTCCAATAAACATAAAACATACATTGTCAAAAAAGCATTCTGAACAACTTTGTTCAAATCCATGTGGAATCCCTATCTGAAGAAAAAACTTCAAAACAAAGACTTGATCCCCAGCACCATAAAAACAAAACCAAAGACCTGAATGATAGGAAAGAGTGAGCTACTGGAATACCTGAAAAGAAGTCTCTTAACAGAATCAAGTGCAAAAGCCTTAAAACAAGGGAAAAGCTTGGTAAAAGATCAGAGAGGACAATGCCCAGATGATATAGAGGCCCGTAAGAAATTTATCTTTTGTTTTTTTCTAAGTTTGTTAGAATATTCTAGGAGGGCTTTAAGCTGAGGATTGATAAAATTGTTTTGTTTTCAAAAAGTGACTCTGGTTGCTTTGTGGAAAATAAGGTAAAATGAATAACAGGAAAAACTATTAAAATATTATGACAGATGATGATATTATGGATTAGACTGATAGTGGCAGAGATGGTTACAAAGCAGTCATATTTGGAATATGTTGTGAAGACAGAAATAAGGGCTCCTAATAGATTAAAYACACAAACTAAGAACTTTTAACCTTAGCAAATACCATTAATTAAGTACAATTAACTGAGATGGGGAAGACCAGAAAAGGAGCAAATCTGAGGAATAAAGGATGAGGAGAAATGTTTGCTTTGCAATATTAACTCTGATACATCTTRTAAGATGGGAAGTATTTTTGCAATTTAAACAGATGGTTGAACATTATAGGCTGGGGCTAGGAAAAAGAAAGAAATTTGGGCTAAACAGGAAGGGTACGCCGTCATTTAGAAATGAGAAAAAGCAAGCAGCAAAGAAAACTGTTCATGATCAATGAAGAAAATAGGAGAAAACCAAGAGTCTAATATCAAGGAAGCTAAGAAAGAGGGTATGTTAAGGAGGGCAAAGCACAGGCACAGGGCGGGTACAGGCTGAGGTTCTGCTATGTGGGCAGAGTATGTGGAATGTTACAAGGGGCAGCGGGATGCAAAAACAAAAACAGGAAGGAAAAAAATAGGATAAAGCATTCAACTACATCAAAAGCTAACTAACAGATCATATTATAGACTTGCAGTTCTCTGTGATTATGACAAAGGCAAATCACTACCAAAGCAACATCATAACAGAATCCAGAGAATGAGGCCAGCACAGTGGTGCATGTCTGTAACCCCAGTGACATGAGAAGCCGAGGCAAGAGGATTGCAAGTTTAAGGCAATCAGCAATTTAGCAAGGCCCTGTCTCAAAATAAAAAATAAAAAGGGCTGGGGATGCAGCTTAGTGGTAAAAGTACCCTGGGTTCAATCCCCCCAGTACTGGTAGGAAGGGGGAAGAATCCAGAGAATAAGCAAAAGGGTCAGTCTTAGATTAAGGACAAGAACAATTCATGTTTTATAGAAGAACAGAAAGAAAAATATAGATATATAATGTAGATTGGTGGTTCTGTTTGTGAGACAGCCATTTTGAAGACTGGCAAAGTGATTTTTATTAGGGAACTGCAGCAAGATTGCAGGACAGTCCACTTGACAGCTGTGTTTACAAATTTTAAATAACAACAATGAGTACCATGACTTATCTTATCTCTCCCAGCTCCATTACAGGAGACAGTTACCATGTACCAAGATACTCCTTCTGTTCAAATATTACCTAATCCTTTATCCAGTCCTTCTAAGTCAGTTTCTAGTACTCACATATCTTGGTCACTTTTCTCTGTTTTAGTTACAAATCTGCAAATTCCTTCTGAAATGTTGTGTGAAGAACAGAGTGCACCCCTTGCAGATGTGATTAGTACATAAAACGGTATACTATTTTAATAATTTTGGACACATAATGTATGTACATATATACATTTAAATACTAACAGATATGGCTAAAATTAAGTTCTAATTCAAAGATATCCTTGCACTGAAAAATTATATATCTGACTTTAATACCTAATATCTAACTTGATTCTTACTTCAAATGTAAACTGGGCCGTTTCTAAATCATGGTAGTCACAACAATCTTTTCCTCTTAGGAGGACATATCTGTACCTCTCATTTGACCTTGCTTTGAGCTGTTTTTTATTGTTGTTGTTTGCATGTGTCTTGTCTCCCAGTTGGAATTATCAGTACTTTAAATACTGGAAAACTTTCTATAATCCTTTAACATGTCATGAATCTTAGTATGTACATAATATTTGTTAATTTCCCAGCATTTTTTCCTATGGCTTCAGAAACATCCCCTTGTTTTTTTCTTTTTTTTTTTTTTAAACATATGTTCATTCCTAACATTCTTAAACATTCTCATTCTATATATGAAATACTTTCACACATACTTGGTTCAGCATTTTCTTCTCCAGTAGTATCTGAAGTTGACAACAGCTATGAAACAGGAGAAAAGTTAAAAGGTAAAATCAGTAATCTCAAAAACAATCTGAACAGTAGCACTACAATAAGTTTACTTTAAATAAATGTATATGGTCTTTTGAAAACCAGGTAATTCGCATACTTCACTTTGCTTTGTTTTACCATAATTATGTATCCTTCCTTAAACTTCACTCAATTCCAAATTAGAATTCAAGTATTTTTCCCACCTCAGGAGTAAGAAGATATAGTAATGTTTTCTCATTCTACTGGACAGTAAGGTTTGAACTGGATTACTATCAAAAGATCTCAACCTCTAACAAGTTATTTTTCTGTTTGTTTCCTGGAAAAAAAATAAAGCCACTAAAATCCTTCTTCAACCCCATTGCAAATTTATTCAGTGGTAGGATAACAATTTTTCAAAAAACTAAAAACAACATTTTTTAAAGAGCCCTGAACAAACACATTGGTAACAAAATTAAATATCAGGTGTTATTAATACAGACACAAACTATGTAACTAGAATTAATAAGCAAACAGAAGTAAATATCACTTCTAATAATATTTCTGTAATTATCACATAGCAGAATTCAATGTTATTAATTTTAGAAATATATCTACCTGTTCAAGAAGATGAGGATATCTAGCTTGAATCTCATCAACAAACTCTTGCCCTTTCATTCGTATCAAGAACTCACACCTAAAACATAAGAAAAATATGTTTTATACCAATAGCATAATCTGATTATTCTAGAAAAGTAGCTTTCAAACCTACTTGATAACAACTCATAGCAAAAACATTTAGAGAAACAATATTATCATAAAACATACACATTCTTAATATGTGATATATTCTGATATTTTCTATCATTCAATTAACACACCAAAAGAGATATCAACCTAGAAAGGAGCACAAGCTGAAAAACTGTTAAACACAATTTACTTATCAAGCTTAACAGTATTACAGAAATTGTAAATCAGTATTCCTAAAATTTTATCTTTCATATTATATTAACTGCTAAACTTTCGATAACATTTACTCTTCAATTATATTTGAAGCACAATCTACCATATTCCCTCTGGAAAATATAAAATCAAATATTTTCATCTACTCACACTGTTTCTCAAACACCTGTCTTTAAATTACTACAGCTTCTCAAAGTTGTTCCAAGATGCAGTTCATTTAACATCTACTACCATTCTATTTCTTTTTTAAACAAATGGTGTTAAATAACTGGATATCCATATGCTAAAAAACCCTACTTTGACTGATGCTCATATCATATGCAAAAATAAACTAAAAATAGATCAAGTTTCTAAATGAAAGACCTAAAACAATAAAACTTCTAGTAGAAAACAGAAAAACCCCAGCACGAAAAAAAAAGAAAAAAAATTAATAAAAGATCAAAAACATAATCCATAAGAAACAAATTGAAAAAATGACACCAACAAAATTAAAAGCATCTGCTCTTCAAAAGCCACTGTTAAATAAATGAAAAGGTTTTATTATTTTAATCTGCCCAAGAGAGTAGAATTGGTGCCAAGAGAGATGCTACTGGCCATGATACTTCCCATGAGAAAAAGAAATCCAGTCTCCAGCAACTTTGCCACCAAAGACCCAAACAACCCTTGCTGTTTCCTTGGATACAGGATCCTTGCACTCCTCACTCATAATGACTTCAGCTAACAGAGTCATATAGAGACTATGCCACTAGGCATCCTACAGAGTCAATGCTATCACACTCACCCTAGATAAAGATATTTTCTCAACAAAATCAGTACAGAAAGTCTACAAGAGTTAATTGTGCCAATAAACGCACAGGACATGGGGCTGGGGTTGTGGTTCAGGGGTAGAGCACTTGCCTAACATGTGTGAGGCACTGGGTTCAATCCTTAGCACCACATAAAAATAAATAAATAAAATAAAGGTATTGTGGCCAATCCAACTAAGAAAAAACCATTAAAACAAAACAAACAAACAAACAAAAACACACAGGACACATGCAAGGCTACTCTCCACCAAAAAAAGTTGTAGTTTAAAAAAAAAAATGAGGCTGGGTGCAGTGGCGCACGCCTGTTATACCAATGGCTCAGGAGGCTGAGGAAGGGGGATCACAAGTAGTTCAAAGCAAAATGGGCAAAAAGATTAGAGAAGAGCTGAAAACTTCCCAAATCTAGGGAGACAGATGGATGTCCAGGCACAGGGAGTTCAGAGGTCCCCATACACATTCTACCCAAAGAGGACTGTGGCATATTAAAATAAACTGTAAAAAATCAAAAATGAAATGAGAACTGCTTTTTTGGTAGAGGTGAGATCTTACTATGTTGCCCAGGCTGGCCTTGAATTCCTGGACTCAAGCAATTCTCCTGCCTCAGCCTCCAACACCTGGAACTATAGGGGAATACCACCATGTCAAGCTAAAAGAGAGGATTTTAAAAGCAGCAAGGGAACAGATACGCATTTCATACAAGGGAACCCCAAAAGGCTACCAGCAGATTTCTCAGCAGAAACTCTGAAAGTCAAGAAAGAGTTCAAGGATATATTTAAAGTGTTTGGAAATAAAAACCTACAAATCAAGACTTTACCTGGCAAATGTCTGTTTCAAAAACATGAAAGAGACATACAGTTTACCAGAAAAAAAAGCTGAGGGAATTCATACCACTAAATCTGCCTTACAAGGAATACTAGAGGGTTAAGGATGTAGTTCAATTACAGGTAATCTACTTAGCATGCATGAGGCTGTGGGTTTAATGCCCAGCACCACAAAAAATAGGGAGGAAAAAAAAGGCAAAACAAAACAAAACCAATGGTTTAAGAAATGTCCAAGAGTTCAAGCAGAAATAAAAGGATACTAATTAGTAACATGTAAGCACATGAAAGTGTAAAATTTACTGGTAAAGATAAATATGCAGGGCTGGGTTGTAGCTCAGTGGTAGAGTGCTTGTCTCACATGGGTGAGGCACTGAGTTCAAGCCTCAGCACCACGTAAAAATAAATCAATAAGATATTGTGTCCAACTACAACTAAAAATATATATATTTAAAAAAGATAAATAATGCAATAAAATTCAGAATACTCAAAATGTGTAATGACTATATGTAAATCACTTTAATATATAATGGTCAAAAAGAAAAAAGGGGCTGGGAGTATGGCTGTGATAGAGTGCTTGCCCAGCAAGCACAAAGCCCAAAGTTATTTATATAAATAAACATATATGTATATATAAATAACTATAGCTACAATAGCTTGTTAATGGATATATAATAAAGAAAGATGTAATACTATCAAAACCATAAAATGTAAGGGGGAGGGGGTAGAGCAAAAGGGGAGAATTTTTGTATGCAACTGAAATTAAACTGTTGGTTTATAATAGACTGTTATGTTTATAACATGTTCTACATAAGTCTCACAGCAACCACAAGGCAAAAACCTACAGTTGGTAACAAAAGATGTAGAGTTAGAAAACAAAGCACATGGTGGAATATCATCAAATCACAAAGAAAGACACCAACAGAGAAATAAAAGAACTACCAGTCAGAGAACAATTAGCAAAATGACAATAGTAAGTCATTACATACTGATAATTAGTTTAAATGTAAATGGATTAAAATCTTCAATCGAAATACACAGAGTAGCTGAGTGGATAAAAATCTACAAGAGACTCAGTTTACCTATAAGAACACACAATTTGGAAGTAAAGGTAGAAAAAAAAATTCTGTGCAAATAAAAATCAAAAGAAAGCAGAGATAGTTATATTTAAACAAACTGTAACATGAGACAAAGGTCTTAACAGAAATAGATAGCAATATAACAACAGTAGGAGATTTTAATACCATACTCACAAAAATAGATAGATCCTCCAGAGAGAAAAATCAGTAAGCAAATGTTGGACTTGAACTACACATCAGACCAAACAGAACCAAATAGAAATACAGAGGGCTTCATCCAACAGCAAAAGAATCTACATTCTTCTCAACCACACAAAGAAAATTCTCCAGGACAGATCATAAATTAGATTACAAAACAAGTCACAACAAATTCAAGATGACTAAAATCATTTCAAGTATCTTTACAGATCATACTAGTATGAAATAATCAATAAGAGGACAAAARCCAGTACTCTTTGTACCTCAACAACTAATGGATCAAAGAAGAAACGGAAAAAAATTTTAAATCTTGATAAAAACAAAAATTCTAATATAACATACCAGTGTTTTAAGAAGATAAACACAATCAACAAAGCTTTAGCTAAACTAAGAAAAAAAGAGAGACGACCCAAACAAAATCAGAAAGAGGAGACATCACAACTGCTATCACAGAAACATAAAAACTCATAAGAAACTGCTATAAACTGCTATACAACAAAAAACTGGATAATCAAGAAATGGGCAAATTTCTAGAAACTATAAGCTACCATGATTAAAGTCATGAAGTAGAAATGTGAATGCATCTACAACTAGTAAAGAAATTAAGTCAATAATAAAAAATCTGTTCATGAGAACACTGAAGTTCTACTCAGCAAATTTATGGGTTGATGGAAATGTTCTATATGTTCTAACTGCAGTACTAATTATATGGCTCAGTGCATTAAAACTCATAAAGTGAACTATATGTAAATTATAACTCAACAAACCTTTTTAAAAAATAAACAAAAATTTCCTTCCCCTTTAAAACGGAATACTCTGAAAAGTATTAGCCACACACTAGAAGTTAGTAAAGAACGTATAAACACAATAAAGATTCAAGTTCATCACTTAGATTACACAGCTAGTTGTCTTATATGCCTGACCTTCATATAACTTTAACTTATTTTTACTGTTGAACTGATTACTGTATATTTCTAATGGTTAAAGACATGAAGTATAATAAACCCTGCTGCCCCATATTTCTCCCTTCTCCAATAAACTCTATGAAGGTAGAAATTTGTCTGATAAATCTCTGGCATCTAAAATAGTTCTAAACAGTACCTAAATATTTGACAAATGAGTAAGTGAACTGTGCTAAACTATAGTGATAATAATTATCCATTGTGGTTTTTCATTTACTGAGAGTAAAGATTATTCACAACTAAAACCCGTTGTTTTCAGGAAAGTACTTACCAGAAAGCACTCCCAAGTCTTCTCCCTTGCTAGCCATTTAAAACTAAACACAAATTACGAATTTAAGAATTTCGTTTTGCTTTACAAAGGACAAAATGTAGCAATTCAAACACTGGAATTTGAAAGCAATTTTTGATATTGTAATATCAGTAAATTTCAAATTAAAGTGTTTTGTCTTACATTATAATTTTAACTATCATTTTTCAGAGTCAAAAATAAAAATTTACATCATATATAATGAATAGTGATGACACAAAGTATAATTTTTAACAATGTACTGATGCATAATCAAATATTTCTTTCTTTTTTTGGTACTATGGCAGACTATCCAGGGCCTTGAGCATGCTAGGCAAGAGTTCCACCACCGAGCTATATGTACAGCCCTCAACTTCTTTTTCATCAGGTATCATACAAAAATGACAAAAAGGATAATTTGCTGAAATGTTGCAAGATATTCTTCATTAGTGTGAAACGCATTCACAGGTGAAAACATTATCTATATCACACGATTCCACTTACAGGTGGTACCTAGAATAGTCAAATTTATAAAGACAGAAAGAAGTTGCCAGCAGGTAACTGGCAGGAGTAGGAGATAATGAGGTGTCAGTATATAAGGGGTACTGTTGTGATTTGGATGAAAGGTTTCCCCAAAATTCATGTTAGGCATGTTCAAAGGCAAAAAACTGGGATTATGAGAGTTCTGACCTCATAAGTGGATTAATCCATTTGTTTAATAATCTGAATAGACTCCTGGGTAGTAACTATGGACAGTAAGCATAGCTAAAGGAAGTATGTCACTGTAGCTCGCTCGTGCTCTATCAAATGAGTCACAAAAATAAGTTAAATTATATCCAGAGTGCATGGCTTACAAAAGAAGAAAAGTACACAGAAAGATTAAACATTTTAATTTGGTCTTTTGAAAGACTAATCACCCATGATGAGGCTTTGTTATATATAAAAGTAAACTTAATCAAGCCCCGAGTTTTATGTAGGAATGCATATTCAAAACACATTGACAGAAACTCAGGCTAAAGCTCAGTGGTAGAGTGTAAACCTAACATGTTCAAGGACCCTGTATCCCAGCAATGAAAAGGGAGGAAAAAATATATATATATTACCTTGGAAACCATTTGGCATGTTCTACCCATGGATCATCTCCAGATTCCCAACATCTCAAGCCACCATCACAACAAAAGCATTTGACATCATCATTGCGATCTAAATGGAAAAAAAGGACCAAAAATCAACTATACACATTTTCTAATACATAAGTCAAAACAAATTAGGGGAAAAAAAATTAGAAAAGCATATAGCTATTTTTTTCTTACCCACGTAATAAAATCCAGCACTCGCAAGCTGCTCAGGCTGAACTGGAACACTAGCTGGCCAGTACATAAATGTTCTCATTCGAGCTGTGTGTGTCTGCATGCTCAGATTTGAAATACTAAACCTCAGTGTTTCTAGAGAATTTTCCAAAAATGGACAGTTGGGAAAATGTCTCCTGTGTTCTGACATAGCATCATCCTTTGGTTCCCAGTTACTTAGCTTCCCGCCACAGGCAAAGCAGGCTACCCTATCTCCAGGTCCTACATAGTAAAAGCCAGCTCTCGCCAATTCCAATGGTGACAAAAAGGTTAAGGGCCACATATTATAAGTAAGAAATCTGGCTTCTTCAGTACTCATTGCATAACTATAGGGGTTAGTCCTCAGAGGAGAGAAGTCTTCAACAGCTCTAGAATTAAGAGGATTTGGTGAAAGGCAGGAAACAGAATCGCTGAATGAGCCACTCCGTTCCAAACTAGGAGATAATGAATGTGCAAAATGGTTTCTCATTGGAGAGGTATTCTTAGAGGTGGCTTGCAGACTAGCTGAAACCAGATTCTGAATAAAGCTGCAGCTAGGATATAGCTGTTTATGCTTTTCAATAGGACTGTCTCCTTGTTTCCAATTATCCAGCATCAGGCCACAACAGAAACATCTGACTTTGTCATTCACACCAGTGTAATAAAAACCAGCACGAGCAAGACTCCTTTCTGAAACAGGAACACCGATGGGGAAAGTTGAATATGTAGACATTCTGTAGAGCTCACATGAAAAATCATACTTCATTGTTTGTTTGTTGTTATTTGTCCAATTTGACAAGATTGTGCTGTCTTCCATTATACTCCTTATTTTTTGATGCAAGGGATCTTGGATAACTCTTTGGAGGTAGTTTTGTGCATGAGTAGAAAGAAGTACTTTTTGATGACTAAAACTTTCACATACAATTTCTTGTCACTTTTTGCCACAAAAAGAAATCAAAGACTTCTATTTAGTTGAACCACCATACCTTCTTTACTAGATTTATATTTCTCCTAAATTACCAAGATACTTCTGAGTACTTTGGGATTCTATTAACACTTTTAAGTAACCTACACGCTATTTGCTCACAATTTGGTATAATAACTGACTTAAAGGCCTGAAAAAAGTTTACACTTATAAAGATATTAAAACTATTTTTCAAAGAAGTTTATATTCTCAAAATTCTAAGTAACTATAGAATACCTAAATTATGTTTTTTAATTTGCTTTTGGTTACAAGCTATAAAGTCTAGATATAAGGACAATTACTGATTATGCCACAAAAGTAAAGTTAAATTTAGGCTTTTTTCCCTTTACAAGCACTTTATTGTGAAATCCAAAATAATCCCATCTTATTCTAGCAAATAAGTAATTAAAATTTTCAAAGGGTCACATTATTTAAAAGCTAATTGCACACAACTTATCACAGAATAAACTTAAGTGGGTTATATTAGCTTCAGCCAACAACTTTTGGGGAAGTCAACACCCAAAGCCTTATTGTGTCCCACACCTGTTATAAGAGATGTCAAATGAATGTTGTTTAAAGCTCACTGTTAACTTGTCTACCTTTGCTAAACATTATCTATTTTGTTTCTATTTCCTGCAGTATCACCTTGTCTTTCTTCTTAACTCTGTATATCTCTTTATTATACCTGGTCAACTGACGGTATTTTCTCCATAAAATCAGCCATAAAATTTCCACAACACACACTTTCTATATTGCATTAAAAATTTTAAATAAACTGATTTTCATTTAAGGACCATTCAGATATGGTATCAGTCATGATAAATGAGGAATCAATTTATCAAGACAGCTCTTTTGTTATCACAAATGCGTAACACTATATTACCAATAGAATCAATGTTTACACAGAATGTACCAGAATTTACTAGCTTTCTTTATGAAAACTATATATTAAAAATGTGATTCATACACAAAATTACACTCCATAAAATTCAAACTTTATCCCTTTATAAAGCTTTGCACTTTCCATAATGAGATTCATTTCTGCAGGGGAAAAAAATGAATAGGGGGGAACTCTTCAGGGCTGTACATCTGAAAAGAACAACAAAAAAAGTATTTTAGAAAACTATAATTGCATGGCACATAGAACTTAGACACTCTTCAATTTATTCAGTAAAGTCTAAGAATGATCTACACTTTACATAATACATCTGAATTCCAGCAATTTGTCACCAAAACTTTCCAATTAGAAAAGCTCTTGTATAGATACATGCAATTTACCCCACACCATGAACTAGACATCTTTTTAAATGTACAATTTTAAAGACAGAAGCACATTTTCCTCACAGAAAAACATTTTGTCCTTGGTCTCCCTCCCTTTTCATAAAGATACTATCTCTGGCACTTTGTTGGAGACAAAACGGAACAGTGTTGAAAAAYAAGAGATACCACTATACCTGTTTAGTGACAGCACAGAAAAAAGTCAGATATTATTTTTCAATGCCCAGTCACTGCCTAGCCCACTCAGGGTAAAAGGCATCAGGAGAGGCTCATTAACCTAATAAATCCTGAAACACTAACACTGCCTCGAAATTCCAAAGGAACAACCACAGAAAGCAATTCAAAAACAAAAAATACAATCATCTGTAAAACATTGGCCTTGGCCATATGACCACTTATAAAACTGTCTTAATTCCACCAGGGTGTGTGTGTGTGTGTGTGTGTGTGTGTGTGTATGAAAATTTCCCTTTTTGAGGTATTGGGGATGGAACCCAGACCTCCTTCATGCTAGGCAAGCGCTCCACCCCTGAGCTACATTCTTGATCCTTTCTTATATTCTAAGTTATAGATTTTTATTTACATAGAGCCGTATTGATTTTGCTCTCTTTATGCAAAATGTAGCTGGGCGGGGCATAGACTGGAAGGGAAAACAAAAGGAACTATGGGATTTACCCATTAATTTCCCCCGAGTTATTTCTCAGAATCCAGAATATGATTACTTAGGTGACAGAGCACAGTTACAACTATCTGAAATATGATATCTCGCCGCCATACAACTGTCTTCAAAATATTAAATACTGAGGGCCAAGTTTAAAATCTTGCAAAAATTCTTACAGAAAACACTTTGGTCAAAGTCCAAGGGCTGAGTCAGCTTGAAAACAAGTCATTTAAAAATATATCCCTTTCGACTGCAAGTCTTGCAACTGAGGTTTCCGGAAAAAAAAAAAAAAAAAAAAAAAAAAAGCTACAGCGAGACTAGAAAGAGTGCCCTAAGCGACCCTCGACGTTTGGGCGAGCGGCCCCAGACCCAGTTTTCCACCCGGCCGCACCTTTGGGGCGGTGGGTCCCCGCCGGCCCCGAAAGGGGTGCACTCACCACAGTACCAGCGCTGAAAGCACTAAAGCAGGGCGGCTGCTAGGAGACCTCCTCACACCAGGAAAGCAACTGCGTCTAAGCGAAACAGAGCGGGGTAACGACCAGCTCCGCGGCGTTCTGCCGTTCCCAAAACCCAAACCCCAAACCCAGCTGGGCCAACGCTGACGCACGGTGACGTCAGTACGTCCTGCCGTGGGACGTGAATCTCGTGCCGCGCAAGTACGTGAAGTCTATGGCACGGGAGCTGGGTGAAGGGCACGTTCTGTTTCCGGAGGAGGAACAACCCGGAAGGATGTTTGCGGGCGGGGTGCTGTGTGTTTACCCTGCTGGACTTAACGGCTGGTTGGCGCGGGAAGGCGGCAGTCCTCAACGACTTAGTGTTTCGATTTTGAACCTGGCGATACATCTTTAACGTTCCCCCTTCTCTGTCCTAACAGTATTGTGAGGGAAACGTGCGCGCCGGGAGCGTTGCGTTTGAATCTTGAGAAACTCTGAGGGAATACTATTGCCCGGGAAGTTTCACGACCTTCCCGCGGGCTGCCTGGGTTAGGATCCAGCCCCGGGCAAAACTGCCACGGTGTGACGCCTCCTTTGGTCTAAGGTGACGGATGAATCCGTCTTAGTGAATTTTTTCCCTTTTTTTTCAATAAAGTAAATTATTCTAACCGTTTTTCTGAGCTCAGTGCATCTACATAGCATCAGCTTGCCGCATCCGCCTGTGTAAGTTGAAAATGACAGCAGCAGCAGATTAATTTAGACTTTGTGCATTTTATCATTGATCACATTTTGTTTACTTTTAAAGTTTTGGTTTTCTGTATTATGTGAAAAGTGTCTATTTTCAAAACGAATCTCTAGCAACATGAAATAGGCCTCACACTCAACATTTTTCGAATATTTGGATAAGATGGTGTATATACACTCGTGGGACCACAGAAGTAATTATCAAAACCCCTTTTAAATAGTTAAGTGACAGAAAATAGTAGGTGAAAAAAAAAACTAACCTTGGCTTAACCTTTTGTCCCCTTTTCTAGCAGTGTGCCAACCCAATGGCATGCAGTGTTTGTTGTATTGTAGGGGACGTCTTTTTCAATATTTTAATTTCTGAGAGGCAGTCTGTGTCAATAAAATGAGATGCTTTCTTTTCTCTTGCGAAGCCCAGGGGGCAAACATTTCAAAAGCCACTTGATTAGGCAGCCAGGGGAATTCCAGGACCCTGAACCATTTCCCATTTCTGGTCTGTGTCATTTCTACCCCAGTCAGTCGTAGAATAGGACATCTTCTGTTCCGATGTTAATAGGAAAAGGAAAGTATTTCTTTTTTTTTTTTTTAAATTTATTGTTGGTCGTTCAAAACATTACATAGTTCTTAATACATCATATTTCACAGTTTGATTCAGGTGGGTTATGAACTCCCAATTTTACCCCGTATACAGATTGCTGTATCACATCAGTTACCCTTCCATTGATTGACATATTGCCTTTCTCGTGTCTGATATATTCTGCTGTCTGTCCTATTCTCTACTATCCCCCCTCCCCTCCCCTCCCCTTTTCTCGATCTCGTCTGATCTAGGAAAGTATTTCTGACAGTCTGTGATTCAGAGAAAAGAAATGCCATGATCCCCAGTGACCAAAAACTTCAAAAAATGTACATGCGTCTTGATAGTGATTCAATATTTAGTTCAGGTCACTATTTGTCTTGGAAAGTTACAGTGCATTTGTAACATGTGGGAAAATATAGATAGCAAGAATTGTTCATTCTGAATTTGAGACTAATTCTCTTTTTTCAGCTCTTGTCAGACCAAAAAAGTAAAATAATGAATATACTATAATAGGGGAGATGTTGCATTTCAAAAACTCAAAAGCCTTAGATATCCCCTCAAAAAAATATGTAATATCATTCAGGTATAATAAATATCACTGTTTTTTGTGCTATTACTTTTATATGTATTACATATATGCTGTTACATATATATTACTTTTATATGTCCATGGAGTCTAGTTTTTCATTTATTTAGTTACATATTTATTCAATAAATTTGTTTCCCATATTGCCAATATAGCATAGCTGGTAATTTTTTTTAAATAGGCTATATATGTTTTCTGAGGTTGCTATCCTAACATATTTCATATTTATATAGAAAAACTATTTAGAGAATTCAAGACAATTTTGAAGAAAAATAGGATTGAAAAGACATTCTACAAGGTAAGTTATAGGGCTGGGGTTGTGGCTCAGTGATAGAGTGTTTGCCTAGCATATGTGAGGTACTGGGTTAAATTTCCAGCACTACATAGAAATAAATGAATAAAATAAAGGTATTGCATCCATCTACAACTAAAAAAAATTAAAAATAAAAAGATGTTATATAATAAAGCCATAGTAATTAAGGCACTTATATTTTTAAATGTACAAAGAAGCAGGTAAAGAACCAAAAAAAAAAAAAAAAGAGACTCATATATATGTACATGGTAGTCTGATTTTTTAGAGTAAAGAATGACACTGTATTACATATTAGTGAAAAAAGATGACTAGTAGGCTATTCTAGTGGAAAATAAAATTAGATCATTATCTTATACTACTTTAAAAACATTCCTGCTAGACAAAAACTCTTACAAATGAGTAGCTATCATTATGAATCCAATGTAATCCATTACACTTATTTTTACTATTGGTACCCAAATTGTTTCATGTTAGGTCAGTAGGGGCTGATTCAGGTTGGCTCCTGAGTCTTTGACACAACTCTAGTAGTCTTTTTATTGCTTTCCAGGCTCATTTTGTACATTTCTTACCTCATTCCCCTCATAAGCCATTTACCTATAGCACTTTGTTTTCTTTGGCAGCAAACCTTAAAGACCATAACCTGTGTCATACTGTTAAGGAGTTCTGTGGTTTCTATACATGTCTTTGGACAGAGGTAGGTTATATTGGTTTGTTTTTTTTTTTAACAAAATGCATCATTAATTCATACTGATACTTCCAATTCAAATTTAGGAATTCAAGGTTTTATTTAGCCCCCTCTTTTTTTTTTAAGTTCTGGGGACTGATCCCAGGACCTTAGACATGATAAGCACACCCTCTAACACTGGTTGACACCCCCAGTCCCTAAACCTTTTCATACATCCGTAACTCCCTTTCTTTACTCTAAAAAATCCTTATTTTCCCTTCTCTTCCCTTCCTGCCTAGAAGTAATAACTTAAAACACTTTTTATGATTCATGTATTTACTTTATAAATACAACATGTATATTTGCATATCCTTTTTTCTTAAATAAATAGCATACTTCTCTCTACCTTTCTCAAATTCTGGAAATCATTCAGTACTAGTAGATATAAATATTTCTACTTTGTGCTTAGTATTTCATCAGTTTGAAGCACCATAATATGTTTAACTTGAACAATTTGATTCAAAATGCAGTCGAAGGCCTCTTTCTGTCTTGGTCGCAGCAGCAGGGAAAGAAGACGTAGCCATATTGTGCATCTGCCATGGACTGTCCTGTAGAACACAGCTGCAGTCGGTAATCAAGAGGAATAAGCAGACGCACAGCACTAAGCCCAATAACTTGAAGGGTCACCACTCCTTCTACCCCTGACTCATCACAAGTCTTATGAGGGTGGAGTGGTGGCCGGCAGCAAAGGTGTTGTAGTGGTCATGAAGCAAACCTCTGGCCAGGCAACTTCCTCCCTCCTGTGTTTTAGAAATACTTAGGTGCCCATGGAGATCAAACATGTGCGAGCTACCAAACCTGGCTGGCAAGCACATCTGGGCAGGCAGTTCACCTGTTTTTATACCTTGTGCAGAGCTTTCCCTGCCCTGATAGGAGGAAATGGAGGTATAATCTTCATGATTAGCTAATTTTAGAATTGAGGCAGGCTAAGGGAAGGACTATAGTTAAAACAGCTACAATTGGATCTCATATCCCAATTAAAGCTAAATATAGTATTCTAAAAATGGACCACCAGACTTTCTACTCCTCACAAGTGGACCACCATAAATGAGAATTCACAGTGGCTGCCCTCAGTGTCAGGCTCTTGGTCTGAAAGAACAAGTTCTGCACCAATCTGTACATAAGCCAGCACAATCTTTGTAGCTAGAAACCCCAGAGGAGGGCATTCACCCCACTGAGAGTCTCTTGAGCTCTCAACCTCTCCTTCCCACCAAAAAGCAATCTTAAGACTACTTGGGTAATGTCAAAGACTCAGGAGCCAATTTGAAGAAGTTTTCCCTAATCTGAGACAAAACTAGTACCATAGTATATTCAACGGCTTTCTTACTGATGGACATCTGGATGGTTTCCATTCTTGCTATTACTAATAGTGTTGTAATGAAGGATCATGGACATGTATCTTATTTTAGGATATATTTCCAAAAGTTGGATTACTAATTCAAATGTCAGTTCATATGTAATTTTGCTGGATATAGCTAAATGCTTATCTGTGGGAATGTTGACATTTTGCAATCGGACTGGAAATGTAATGGGAATGCATGTTTTCCCCATAACTTCATTAGGGAAGGACGTTGTCAACTTTTGAATTGTTGCCAACTGTTAGATAAGAAATAGTGTCCACTGTAGTTTTGTTTTGTTCTTAAAATATTTTTTAGTTGTAGATAGGCACAATAGCTTTATTTTTTTTAAATATGGTGCTGAGGATGGCACATGTGAGGCAAACGCTGTACCACTGAACCATAACCCCAGTCCCTCACTGTAGTTTTAATTTTATTGCTCTATCATGAATGAGATCAAAACTCTTCCTATGCATCTATTGTATATTTATTTATTTTATTCATACCTGGGATTGAACCCAGGGGCACTTAACCACTGAGCCACATCCCTAACTCTTTACCACTGATCTATATCTCCTTATCCCCAGTCCTTTTTATTTTTTTTCTAATTATGAGAGAGGGTCTGTAAGTTGCTGAGGCTTGCCTCAAACTTGCAGTCCTCCTGCCTCACCCTTCTAGTCCCTGAGATTACAGGCCTCGCCATTGCACCCAGCTATGTGTCTGTCTTTTCTTGTGCTCTTTCCTGATTTGAAATGCCATGTTTCATCATTGAGAAAAATGGTCTAAATTCCACTTCTTACACAAATCCTTTTAACTACACTGATCTTTCCCTTCTAAAGATTCCTTTTGATATGTAAAGAAGTACAGAATTTGGGGGCTCAGGATGTGGCTCAAGTGATAGCATGCTCTCCTGGCATGCGTGAGGCACTGGGTTCGATCCTCAGCACCACATTAAAAAAAATAAATAAAATGAAGATATGTGTCCATCTAAAACTAAAAAATAAAAATATTTTAAAAAAGAAGTACAGAATTTGACTTATGATTCTCTATCAATGAGTAGACCTTAGTACTTACCAACAGTTGCATTTAAGGAAGAAGGAATCCACCCCCCTAGCCAGGTGTAGTGGCCCACATCTGTAATCAGCATCTCTGGAGACTGAGGCAGAAGCATCACAAGTTCAAGGCCAGCCCAGCAACTTCGAAAGATCCTCAGCAACTTAGGGAGACCCAGTCTCAAAAAAATAGAAAGGCTGAGATGTGGCTTAGTGGAAAGCACCCCTGGGTTCAATTCCCAGTACAAAAAAAAAGAAAAAATAAATCCCCCTCACATCTCAGCTGCATTTAGGAAGTTGTTCATTCATTCATTTATTCAATAAGGGATTGTTTTGTCAGATTCTGTGCTAAGTACTGGATATACAGTGGTGAACAAAATACATGGGTCTTGTCCTTATAGAAATGTAGACAATAGAACATGGCTCTAAACAATAAATGTATAAATACAAGTTGAGATACGTGTTATAAAAAAAGAACAAGAGTCTATTAGAGACATAACCAAAAGGATATAATTTAGAAAAAGGGGAAGTGAGAGAAAGCCTCTAAGAAGTTGCTTCTAGGCTGAGGCTGGAAAATGAGTAGGAATTTGCCAAGGAAAGGGTAAATTAAATGAAGAGTACTTGTTGTTGCTCAGAAAATTATATGCAAAATTAAGGATTTAGAAGCAAAGTTTTCCTCTGACCTCCTGATCTTGTTTCCCTCATTCTCCCTTAAAGTGAATCATAGAAACCAGAATTCCTCTTCCCCAAGGTGGGTCATAGAAACAAGTACCCCTTTCCCCCAAATCCAGCCATAAAAACTAGAATGATTACTCCAAACTTCCCTTGCCTTTCTGTGTTAAATGTAGTCATAAAGAAATTAGGACCCTCATTCCACAGCGGCCCTGCCCATACCCAACTAAGGGGCCAATACGATTCTGAATAGACCRGCCTTGCTGGGTTTCCCATTCACTCAGACCCTTTTGTCCAATCATATTCCTACACAGCTGTCCCTGCTTCACAGAACCTAAGCATGAAAACAGACTGTTCACCCTAGGTCTTTGGAGTCTTCAACCTGAGGACCTCTATGTTGTGTAAAATTATGATAAAATAAATTTGTCTTGGTTTTCTTATTGACCTATTGTTTTAGGGAATGTTGGTAATGACCCTTTTGGATGAACAGGAAAATGATGACTCCCTTTTCCATCCCTAAACAAAGATCCTGAAACAAAAAGCACTTTGCCATGTTGAAGAAAGGTGACTGGAAAATAGTAATCAGTGGGGAAAGTGGAGGAAATGAGGCTGAAGATTCTGCAGGGTCATGATAATCTGGTGGGGAGCAGTTTTGTAGAAAAAATGCCAATAATTTGTATGGTATAAACTCTGGAAATTAGACTTCACCAAAATCTCCTTGATTAGAGGTGTAGGGGGTAGAAAGAAATGCAAATCCACTGATATTCTGTTTCAAGAGTATTAGTGTTGCTGCTGAAATAATAAATTTCTTAAACATCACACCTGTCTGCTTTGCCTGCAGTGTACTTAGTACATATTTACACTGTCCACTCTGATGTTCACAAAACCAAAGGATAGCACCTTCATGGAAAGGAGATGGTTACATGTCCTGTAACCACAAAAGAACTTAATAGGCAATTGCATCAAGCAATATAAGGGAATTAATAAAAAAGGTAGAAGCTACCTGATATTTCCTAATTATGAAACTAAACCCACTGCAAAGTTCTGAATTATAATACTTATTATACAGTTATATAATTATAATACTTACTATTATACTTATAATACTTATTATACAGTGTATGTTGTGTAAGTAACCCACCCAATTATGGCCACTGAAGACTGGTTGAGTGGGGAGTGGAGCTGGAAGCCGTCAAAGGGATTAACACTTAAGCACCCCAAAATATGGCCTGACATATGGTCAGCAAATGGAGTTACCATTTTTATAATCTAAAATAATTTTTTCAGAACATATTTTAATTTAACTAATAGAGAAATAACATTTGAATAACTAAGTTGGTTATTTCTGCTATTTATTATAAAAAATGAGAAATGAACAGAAGTTTTACATGGATGTGGCAAGATAAGTTCAAATATTAACTGTAGTATGCCAAATAAAAACCATACCAAAATAGAGGTTACAAAAAAAAGGTCTAATGTCTAAATATTTATCCTATAGCTAAGTAACAACTCATCCAAGCAATATTACAATTAATGAATCCTAGTACGCAAGGAGGTCACTGGTTATAGTGTAGCTAGCCAGCTGAGCCTTTTAGCAGAGGTAGATTGGTTTCATCCCAAGGAAATGGTCATCCAGCATCAGAATGAAGAGATGGATTCTTCCCTCCTTCCCCTTGCATAGTTCCCAATCTTTCTAGCAGATCTCTAGAACTAGTTTAAAAAGCCTTTGCCTGGCTTTTATTCCCTATTACAGTTTTATTTCTGGCTTTAAATCCCTGTAAGAAACAAAGGATAGAGAATTATGAGTTGGACATGTTGAGTACCAAGAAAATTAAGAGAAGGAAATTTTGCTGCACTGACAATACAGAACAGTTTACTTCCAGGAACAAGCTGTTGGTCATAAGGGTTGCTAGTCATAAGGGTTTCTAAGTTCCTGGAATTAATACTTGAGTGGTATGAATAAAAACATAGGGCCAGGTGCGGTGGTGCATGCCTGTAATCCCATCAGCTTGGGAGGCTGAAGCAGGAGGATCATGAGTTTAAAACCAGCCTCAGCAACCTATCGAGGAACTTCGTAACTCAGTGAGACCCTGTCTCTAAATAAAATACATTAAAAGGGCTGTGGATATGGCTCAGTGGTTAAGCAGCCCTCGGTTCAATCCTCAGTGCCAAAAAAAAAAAGTCTTCTCCCAGTGGGTAGGACTGGCACACATGACTTCCTAGGTGAATCAATAAGCAAGTGAAAAAACAAACTTACTGAGGGGACTGCTTGACTTTTGTCTAAAGCATCCCATAATATCCTACAGAAAAAAAAAGGACATTTATACTGTGCTCTACAAGTATAAATGAAGAAGCATCTTTCCAGAAGGGAACTAGACCTCAGTCCAACATTCAAAAGGCCTTAAAGAGGTACAGAAAGAATCTGGAGTGACTGAACTATCCAATTTCATAGAAATCAAGATACCAAGAATAAGAGTAATTTTCATTGCTTTATTAAATTGTTCCTCATAAAATTATTTGCAAAAATGCCATGTCCGTAAAAAAAAGTCATTTGACAAATATATATCTTAAATATTACTTCATTTATAATTTCAATGATGCTGAAACTTTATTATTATGTTTGTAGTGCTATTCATATTTTTTGTTTCCATGAACAAAAGCCCATCATTCTCTTGTTATTGTTTGTGTATTTTAGGTATATATTTACATAAACATATTTATATAAAACAAAATTTTTCAAGTTGCAAATAAATAAATAAATTTAAGGAAAGCAAATGAATGTAAAAGTTAAAATCATAATATACTTAATTCCAGAGTTTAGACAAAAGTTTTGGACCTTCTTCATGAAAGAAATGTACGAACTGTACCCTTGATGGTACCCCTACAAATCGGACATTTTCTTAGAGAAGGGGCACAATCTTTGCATACTACTAGATGACCACAAGGAATGAACACTATGGACACTTCTTTGTCCATGCACACTTTACATGTTCTTTCTTCTTGTAGTCTCCGCAATTGTTCTTCCATTGGTAGATCTGAGAAAAAGGGGAAAAAAATAATAATAAAAGGCAATTTGCTTCTCCTCCTTTAGAAAAAAACAAGAAAATAAAGACAATGTTTTCTAGCAGCTTAAAGTGTTAATATTATTACCTGAAGTATCTTCTGTGCGAATACACCTTATGTCCTGTTGCACTAAAGGAATAAAAGAAAGAAAAAATATTATTATGATAAATAAGAATATATTTTTCAAACTAGTAGTTTAGACTTTGGCCAAACACTCATAATGTCAAGGCAACAAAAGTCTTTAATCTTTTTGTGCAGTTTAATAAATTAGGTTGAATTCTTTTCGATAATCACCAATTGTTTGAGAGTATTTTGGAACTGACCTAGGAACTTCCCAAAAATAATTTTCTTGCACTCACCAAATAAATGCTTGTATAACATAGGGTCAGTTTCTTGTAGAGAGTTTTTGAATACAGTGGCTGCGGTATTTCCTTTTACTAAAATGGTGTCAATCAGTTCTCTTGCTTGTAAAGAAGTCTGTGTTTTCTGCTTAATTACATCATGCTCTTGTTCATTAATCACTCTGGCTGTTAGTAGACTATCCAGAATTGGAATTACACAAGTCAGATGTTGGAAAAGTGCCATTCTATTCTTCCGAATTAATAATAGATCTCCTTTATAAAAAAGAAAAGAAACACAAAGATGTTCAAACTCTGCTCAGAAACTTTCTTCCACACTTATATATACAAGTCAATGAAAACCATCTTCAATTTACCATTAGTAAGGCTCTGATATTGATTGCTAGGGTTGGGGTATCTGCTGCTTGTGCCTGATGATAACGCTGATTATGAGAAATGACACTGAGCACTGCATTAGGTACCCCACATGTTACCCCATTTCATCCTCATAATAGCCTGTGGAGAACAGTTATATGAATCATGCTCCAACTTTCTTGTGGCTGTGTTGCACTGGGAACTGCCTGTGCAAAAGTGCAAGTCAAGATGGCTCTGTTGCTATGGTGATACCAGCCTGAAGAAACTCTGTAAAGGCTCATCGTTATCAGCAGAGGCCTTGAATTCAGACACCAACTCCCAGGAATAGAGAATTCTGAGCAAAACAAGATGACCCCAATGTCTCCCCTGTCCTGCATCCTTCAGATTGCATGTTTTGCTAAAACTTTCCCACAAATAACCTTTTGATGAAACCTATACAATAAACATGCTGAGTTAGTTCAGGGTTAGTCAAACTCTGCATCAGAGTTTGGCTGTCCACCTAGCCCCACTGTTTTCTCTCTATGTGTGTCTATTTGTCTTTTCCTCATTCTCCATCACTCTTGTCCCATATTTCCTTAATTAACAGCTGCAGCTGGGAGCAGATATGAGAGGGCAAAAGCAATAGCCATTTGAAGTAAGTACTAATTCCTTCCTTTAACAGATGAGAAAACAAAGCCACGAAGAGGCAAATAAGTTGCCAAAGGACACATAACTAGCAAAGTCAAACTGAGACAGGGTGGCATCATGATTTGTGCTTTCAGTCATTCTGTGATCCAGCTAAGCTGTTAACTCAATAAGATTAAAATTTTAATTCAATTTAGCCAAATTGGGGAAACGTAAAATCAAATGAATTAAAGCAATTTTTTAAAATGTTTATTATTTCATAAAATTTCTTTAAATTTTCATTTTTAAGTGGAAATTTTAATTATTTTCTCAAATCAGACATATGGCCATTACCTAAATATTGTATAATGAGGAAAAAACTCACAGCATTTTGAAGAGTAAATCCTCTTTGTCAATGACTGCCTTCTATTGACCTTATACAATCACCTTATTTTCCTTCAAGATCTAAATTTGAATTTATTGGTTAAAAAAAAACTATATAGATTGAAACTCCAATTTGCCGGGTACTGTGAGGCACACCTGTAATCCCAGCTACCCTGGAGGCTGAGGCAGGAGGATCAAAAGTTCGAGGTTAGCCTGGGCAACTACTTTGTATCAAAATAAGAAAAATAAAAAGGGCTGGGGATGTAGTTCAGTGGTAGAGCACCCCTAGACCAACCCCCAGTACTGAAAAAAAAAAACTGTGATTTTATCATCTCTTTGAACTAAGAACCTAAGCTTATTATTTACTTTACCATAACCAATAAAGCTATTTCTTTTTAAAATTTATTTATTTTTCTACTATAAAGCTATTTATAAAATAACTAATGGTAGAAGCTGGGTGTCTGAAGAATAATTATTTTAGGACAGATGATTGTGAGGTTTAAGACATATTGACTTAATATGGACACATAAATACAACCATCTCAAAAAGAATAAGAAGTGATACTTAGTAAAAAAGTCAAGGCTGAAGATATACATTCTGAATATAACTGAAGCTTTGAGAATAAATGAGAAAAGGACCAGAAACTAGAATAGTATATTTACAAAGATACTTTATAAATAACTATTGAAGAAATTTTAAAAATAGCCTTAGTAATTTAAAGAGTAGGAATAAAAAAAAAGTAATAGAGGTATAGAAGATTCAGAACAAACTATACCATTAAATTATCTATATTAGACAAGTAATAATATATTAGAAAATAAAATATAACTTATACTTGGTGTTGAAGTACATTAACTTTTCAAAATAACATTTATTTTTCTAATAACAGTTTGCTTAGCCTAATAAACTCTCTGAACTACTTTTTTTTCTTTCTTGGTGCTGATAATTGAATCCATGGCCTTGTGCATGCTAGGCAAGCAGTCTACCCGAACATTCTACCACTGAGAAATACCCCAAGCCTCTTTGAAATTCCTAAGATTTCTAAAATTTTATTGCTAGTATTTGGGAAAAGTTCTTATTTCAAAGTCGTAGACTGTATTATGGCTTGAATATACATTTGGAACAAGTGAAGACTTGAATATATCTTTGAAACATTATTTTTTCTGAGAAAAAATTTCCTAAATTGCCTCTTTATTTATGTAACTGTTAAGAAATTAATTGCCACTGTTCTTGGAATACTATAATATAATCAATAACCTAAATGCAAGTATTTTCCTTAACTCATTCAAAAAAATTTTTTCTTGAGCACAGGCTATGTGCAGACGCCTGCTAAGTAGTAGACATAGAAGGGTGACATTAAGAGCTCCTTTTGACAATGTAAATCATGGTACATTGTCAATCTGGAGTCATCTCTGGAGACTTTGTTAATTTTATTTGGAAGAAATATAAGCATTTCTACAGGTGGATGATTTTAGACATCATTGGGTTTCTCAACAAATGTGAAGATTTTGGGGCAATTGTTGAGTGATGACCAGTGATTAAGACTCAGATGACAGCTGGACATGGTGGTACTAGCCCATAATCCCAGTGATTTAGAAGTCTGAACCCCAGGGGTTCAATCTCCAGTATCAAAAACAAACAAACAAAAAAAACTGAGATGACTACAGAAAAAACACACTTGCCTAATGTCCACTTCACAATGAAAAGCGAAGAACTTGACTAGGCAGGACAGATATTGACTTGGATTGTGTTCCTGCTGTACTGGTGGTGTGTAGACTAAGTAATTCACACCTTGATAAATGTGTGATGCTGTATTACTATGTTCAGATACATTTGTCTGAATTGGGCAAAAGACATATTTATCTTCATGGGTGGAATAGGTTCATCCTTAAATGGGGTGGACACTCTGTCAATCATCCTGGAAAGAAATAGATCTCAAATGGCTGTGAACAAAGACAAGTGCAAGCTTTTTGCTCTCTCTGAATATTGAATATTTGGAGCCCTTATCTTTGATAAAGGAAACCATGTTCGCAACTTTCCTAGTTTTTTGTGTAAACTGGCTAGAGCTACACATTGATGGACCAGACACTAGGTAGAGAGATTTGAGAATGAGGCCACATCTATTTCCAGTTGTAAATTGCCATCTGAGATATAATTTCTTCCTCCTGTTCCTAAATCTCCAGTAAGAGATTGTTAAGAGTGGCAGTCTATTATCTTCAACTGTGTTGAAGACACAGGGTCTGGTCCAAGCTTGGGAAAGAGCAGCAAGAGAGATCAGCATTTCTCTTTGTCTATGTCAGAATGATAACAGAAGTTGCAACCAGATGCAGTGTGTCCCCCAGAGGGAGACAGTTTCTGGGCAGAGCAATAGAGAACAGAGTAGCTAACAGGCTAGCTAGCATGGGAGGACATGGTAGCTTGCCTGAATGAATGTGAAACAGTACCCTAGGACTTGCCTAAATAAAAGTCATTGGAAGGGAACTCAGTTCTTGTATGGGCATGTAGGACACTTAATCACAATTTGTGTATTCATTTTTAGTCACAGGATGAGACATACTGTTATGCTAATATTAAAATTAATAATTGCCCCTTATCCCACCCTGATTTACAGAAAAGGGGAGTGAGCAACTAGCCAGTGATTAAAAATGTGCCATGAATAATTGCATTCAAAGTTAACTATTCAGGGGCTGGGGATGTGGCTCAAGCGGTAGCGCGCTCGCCTAGCATTCGTGCAGCCCGGGTTCGATCCTCAGCACCACATACAAACAAAAATGTTGTGTCAACCAAATACTAAAAAATAAATATTAAAATTCTCAAAAAAAAACAACAAAGTTAACTATTCAGAGTAAAATATGAAATAAAGGAAAGAAGGAAAAAATATTTCCTCTTAACGTACACATTTTCAAGTTAAGCAGCAATTCCTATATATCTTAATGTGAAAAAATTTTTTTCAGAATTTTAATTCAGAATACTAAACATACAAAAAATATGACTGGGTTGACTGATCAATTAGTATATTTTCAGTAAGATACATAGAGTGATATCACATTCTTATGGAAAGAGAGACTATACTAAAAAAAAATACATACCTGATTCTTTTTCCTCAGTTGCTCTTTCTTTTTCCTCTTCCCTTATTTCATCTTCTGCATTAAGCAAATCTAATACAAGATCACTGATGGTTTTATAATTCTCTCCAGCGGTTAGGATTTTACTCTGAACTGTCTGTTTTACCAGGTTTCTACTGAAGCCCATTTCCAAAGCAGCTTTAACCACAGGTGTATTCATCATGACAGCATCTTCTGAATGGTTTTCTCCAGGTCCAAAATGAACAACTATGTGGAACAAAGAATTTAACACACATTAGGATAGTCTGTATGCTTTAAAATTGAAAGTTATTAAAATATCACAAACCTAAAACACTAGAAAATGTAGAGGCACTATTTTATACAAACTTCGTTAAATTTAAAATGATATATATGTTCAGTTACCAAAATAAGAATGTAGAAGATTGTATTTAGATACAAAACATTTGCTATCTGTTATACCATATACATATAAAAGAAGGAGAAGGAAACAGAATGTCAGAGATCAAAGAATTGAGATTCCCTTTTCCCTGTGTTGGATTAACAAATGAGCTTTCTAAATCAAATACATATTTTCAAAAGGGATCTTTGTCGTCACTCACTTTTGTTACTGCAATGGCTTCCTACAATATTGTTCCCTTCCAGCCCATTCTCAATGCCACAACCAGAGTGATTTAAAAAAAAAAAAAAAAACGCAAATCTGATTGTGCTATACTCCTTAAATTCCATCAACAATTCCATTGTAGCTTATAATCACACATACAATCTGTACCCTGTTTACCTCTTCAGCTTTATCCCTTGTCAATTATTTGCATTCTGCTCTCTAGGATAGAAGTCACAAACTGATAGGTCTTGGGTCAAATTCTGTCTGCAGTGCTGACCCCTTACGCCAGCCTGCTTCATGTATTCATCTGTTTGCAACTCCTACTTTTGACCATATAGAATTTTGTTCAGTTCTTCAGATGAGCTTGTTCTATCTCACACAGGCCTTTCATATGCTGTTCCCTATGTCTAGAATGTCCTTTTCTTCCCTTTGTCACCTGGTTGACTCCTTTTTCCTTGAGTTCTCTGACAAGATGAGTATTTCCTCCAGAAAGCCTTTTCTGATCCTCTAGTTCTCTCAGGCACTCTCATATCACACTTTATTTTCCCCACCAAATCCCTTTCTCCTATCTGTGTATTGTTTTTATCCATAAGATCATTAGCTCGTGAGAGCAGGAGTCATGCTTATCCTGCTTCCTATGCTTCCCTAAGAATAGTAAATACTTGTATATTTATTTTATTTTATTTTATGCTATAAAATGAAATAGAAGCACTTGTTCAAACATTTGATCTACCCCCTTTTAGTTCTAAGGTAAGGGTCAAGTCATTCAACATCTCTGAGCTTTGGGGTCTTTACTAAAGGATGGGAATACTATTTTTCTACTCTCCTTTATTTCACAGAAAGCATATGTGAACAATCTAATATCACAGTACACCTCTTCCCATACTGGTCCAAGAATAAGGGTTAGACTAGAAGTATGTATTTTGCTAAAATTAGATGCCCAGGGCTGTGGATATTGCTCAGTGGAAGAGCATATGCTTAGCATCCTCAAGGACCTGGATTCAAACCTCAGTACCAATAAAACAAATCCACTAACTACTGATACCCAAGTCCTACCCTTAGATACTCTGATTCAATTCAGTAGGTTTGAAGGCATAAACTAGAAATCTGCACCAGTTTTTAAAGTTCTCTAGGTAATTCTGATATGCACTGAAGTTTGAGAAATACCAACATGATATATTTGAAAATGCATTGTAAATGATAAATCAATACAAACGTATATTATTATTATCACCTTTTAATCTTAAAAATGCTAAATGCGTCTATCTCAATGAAGTAATTATGTTTATACATACTTGGTGACTCTGCATTTTCTTCTTCTGGGGTATCTGATGTGGATAACAGCTACAGAAAAAAATGTATATCAGTTAAATATAAACTTCATACTGCCCATCACAATAAAAACGAGCCAATAGACCTACTTTTTAAAATTTATTACAAGCTGACTGGTTTACTGACAAAATAATTTTTTAAATCAAAAGAAGTATTTTATTTACATCCACCAGCTATTCTCTCAGCCATAAACCAACAGAGTTTCTCTGTATGTGTTTGTACTAACATATAAAATCTATTTTCCTGAAGGCAGGAAAAGGGCTAAAGCTCTTCAGTGATCTATGAGATAATCAGTTTGCCTCTCATTAACAGATCTTATGCTCCTGGGTTATCTTTTGGGATAGAGTAAACCCTATATCAGTCTGTTGACCACAGCTAGGCAGTTTTTGACCCCCAAACTATTATATAAGTTGTCATTTGCTCTCCCAGAAAGATTAGAAAGAACAATAACATTCTTTCTCAAATCTTCTAAAGAAAAAGTTTTATAGCAAACCTATTATATGCTACTATTCCAGCCAATTTTTTCCCCTCAACTTGATTGGAGGAATGCTTGAAAACAAAGATAACAAATCTTATTTTTCAGGGGGTTATGAATTATGGATCTATTTTTCTCCAAAGAATAGTACTTTCTAGGACCATATCAAGTTTTATGAAAAAGAAAAATGTGTTTTAAAAACAACTTTTGTCTTTTGACTAAAATATACTTTATAATTATTAAAAAAAAAACCTGTCTGTTGGTAACCAGTGATTTAAAAGGAAAAAAGAAACTTCCCTACCTACCTGTTCAAGGAGATGGGGATAACTGGCTTGAACTTGATTGACGAATTCTTGTCCTTTAATTCTTATCAAGTACTCACACCTCAAATATAAACAAAGTTTGAAGGATAATTTTATAAAAGTGAAAGGAAATTTAATAACATAAATTTATCATCCCTGTGTGTTTATTCTATTAAAAAGCTGTCTAAGCATCCCAAATCCAGAATCATTTTAGATCACTGATTATAAGCTTAAAAGAATAAATAAATTTTAGCCCAGTGAGAACTAATTCTACTGTATTTCTTTGTCTTGAATTTTTTTTTGATAAAACTAACCTATAAATATTCTATAATAGGATTCATATTTTTTACATGTGAATCTTTTATTTATTATTTGTTTATTAAGGTGCTACCATAATTAACACAAATTTGATTTACTCCTAGTACTTTTTCATATGATTTAAATGCTTTATGATTTTTTGTGTTAATATAATATATAAATTTTTACATAAAAAACATCCTAAACCTACTTTTTCTTTGTCTTAAACCAATTAAAGCATTTTAAGTAATTATTTTTCTAAATAACCCACTCTAAACTTAGTCACAAATATATTTTTTGAACAAAGAATAATAAGACAGCTGACTGGAGGGCAAACACATCAAACCCACTTCATGATAATCACAAGCATTTGCAAAGAGAATTTCAAAACAATTACCTTGGAAACCACTTGGCATGTTCCACCCATGGATCATCTCCCAACTCCCAACACCTCAGTCCACCATCACAGCAAAAGCATTTGACATCATCACTGTGACCTAAAATTATTTTAGACCAAAACTTATAAATACATATAATTTCCCACTAAAATGTATAAAATAAAACATACTGAACTTTTTAAATTATCAGATTAAGTTCCTTACCCACATAATAAAAACCTGCACTTGCAAGTTGCTCAGGATGAACCAGAACACTGGAAGGCCAGTTAAAGAACGTTTTAAAGCGGGCTGCATGTGTCTGCATGCTCAGATTAGAAACGGTGTATCTTGAAGTATCTTGAAACTGATTTTCTACAAACGGGCAGTTGGGAAAATGTCTTAGGTGTTCTGACATAGCATCGTCCTTTGGTTCCCAATTACTCAATTTTCCACCACAGGCAAAGCAAGCCACTCTGTCTCCAGGCCCTATGTAGTAAAAGCCTGCTTTGGCTAGTTCTGTAGGTGACAGAAAGGTCAATGGCCACATCTGATAAGTGAGTAATCTGGCCTTTTCAGTATTCATTGAACAATGGTAGGGATTTATTCTCAAGGCAGAAAAATCTTGATTTGCTCTGGAGTTGACAGGATTTGATAGAAAGCTTGAATAAGAGCCAGTAAAATATCCACTGTTTTCCAAACTTGGAAGTAATGAATGTGTGGAATTTGTTACTGAAGAAGAAAAAGAAGGCTGAGAAGTAGCTTTCGAATTGTTAACTGAATTTAGATTCTGAACAAAGCTGCAGCTAGGATACAGTTTTTTATGCTTTTCGATAGGATTGTCTCCTTGTTTCCAGTTATCCAGCATCAGGCCACAACAGAAGCATTTGACCTTGTCTTTCACACCAGTGTAATAGAAACCAGCACGAGCAAGACTTCTTTCAGAGACGGGAACCCCTGAGGGGAAAGTCGAATATGTGGACATCCGATACAGTTCACATGAAAAGTCGTACTTCATTTTAAACGAGTTGGCATTCTTCATCAAATTTGATAAGAAGATGCTATTTTCTACTATGTTCATAACGAAATGGATGAGGAGGAAAAGGGACCAGCCTTTCTCTGGGGAGGTAGTTTTGTGCATGTTTTTTTTTTTTTTTTTTATCAGTTTTACTTCTAGGTGGAACATCTAAAATGAGAATTCTTTCATTCTTTCTTCTATGCATTTAGGGTTTCAGCATGGAGAGAGTCTAAATTCTACACTGATGCATATTAAGGGACAGTTACAACCGCATCTTTGTATAACCTGTATACATACAATGTAAATAAGATGTTACATAGTAACCTGTGACAAAATTAAAATCCTTCCTAGAGGCATAAAGTGTTTTAGATTATCAGGAAGCACCTCTACACCTAGGTCAGCTTTTGCAGACCACCAAGGTACAGCAGTGGCCTTCACCAACCTGCAGAAGTGTCTGCCTCATAATGCTAGCTTCTTTTCATGGTAGAAAGCTATGCTCCATAAGCATCACACACAAAAATATTCAGTGTATGTTTGTTTTGTTTTGTTTGGAAATTGTAACATTTGGTAGCAAAAAAAAAAATAGCACAAGATCGATCTCATATCTCACAGGAAGATTACATTACCATAGGTCATTGATTTAATTAAAGATACTTGCTTTGATATCTGTTATAAAGAGGTAGTTTAAATCAATGGCATATTTTAGTTAGCAACATTTTTATTTCTTAGACATACATAAAATAATAGTATGACTCATACGTGAGGGCATCTTAGATTCAGTGAAATATGGTTTATCCCAAATCTTTCTCAAATTAAGTAGTTCTTCCGTTTATGATCATTTTAATAAGTAGAACAAAAATCTGAAGTTTCCCTCTGAAGATTAAGTAGTAACAGAATGGACTGCCATCTAAAACTTGTTTTCAATATTTATTATATAATAATTACTTCCTCATTGACCATCAGGAACATTTTTGCTTAGTGATGTTATGAAATTTTAAAAAATTAAATATTCTATTTTAAATAAATCATTAGAGACTAATGTATCTGCTTATTTGGTCTTTTGGACCCAGTTTCATGCCATTGAGATAACTCAATGTTACCATTTCTTTGTTCTAATGATGTAATTGGCTAGAACCAATTACCCTTGGTAATTATGGTAGATAGAAGGTGCTGAAAATGGAGACTGCCACAAATCACCAATAATGATATTGAAGTTCATTGCTATATTCAGGTTACATCAAATTTTCTCGGATAGTGGATTTAATTTTTAAAACAATCAAAAGTTACAAAATGCCAAGTCTATATGCTAAGATGAATCATCAAATCATATAAATTTGTCTTGGGTCAGAAATTATTTCACAGTGTACCTTGAGCCAGAATTTATCATGACAAAAACCAAACTAAAAATTATCACAGAAACCTCAAAAATTAGAAGTTTTCAATTATGACATACAAGCTGTTAATAAATAGGTTATCTGTCAATAATACTAGTAATCTCTATGATTGTTTTTTTACCAGTGGTTGGCAGGTATGGTTTCTTTGAGCCCACAGATGTTGGTGTTTTCTAATGTAGACTTCAAGACTTATTTTTGAATGGGATTTCCAGGTAGCAGAAGAAACTTCAGAGACTGTTACCAATGATTATTTCCTCAAAAGTTACTGTGACCAACTTCACTATGCCTTCCCATAGTCAAAATTGTTACACATTATTATTTAAAAAAAAAAAAGTTGTCTTTACATAAATTTCCTTTCTGAAAAAAATATGTAACCATTTAGCCATCATTCTTATCTTCATCATTCTCAGAGATAAGAGACTATTTGAAAAAACTTAAATTTAGACTTTTAAAACATCAGTGGCCTTCTACGTGATAATTTCTTCATCAGTTATCATGTTTATCTTTCCTATTTCCTCTAAATTTGTTGAACTTATTAAAATGTTTTGGTTTTCACATTCTTTGTCATTGTCTATGTCAAATACTTCATTTGCATATTTCTCTAATCTTGCAGATAGTGAAATATCAGCTCTTGGTTCCTGGTAACTGTCACTCATTTTTAAATTTGACCAAACACAGGTACTTTTTCTACTCTAACAGCATTTAGTAGGAGATTGCCTAGCCAACTTTGAAAAGAGTGCTTCAACCATTTCTTCCAACTTCTTTACTTCTACAAATCAAATTCAAAAATCATTATAGTTACAGTTCATATAATTAGGTTTTTAAAAATTAACATTCTTTGGATACTACACCAAAAGTTCAGTTAACTATTAATTTGTTATTTCATGCACAAAACTACCTCCCGAGATTAGACTAGGTCCCTTTTAAGGGTTTTAGGCCTCCATTTTGAGATGTTTTGATTTATAGAAGAAACTAGAAAAAAGCTAGAAGTAGTAAAACAATTTGTGTCCTTTGTAAACCTGTTTAAGAGAGAGAGAGAGAGAGAGATCTTTAAAAGTCAAATAATTCATAGATGTAACATAATCATTTTTTCTTAAAGTATTTTCTCTAAAATAGAACAGTAGTATTTACTAATTGCCTATCATGTACAAGATGCTATATAAGTTGGGACTGGCGACATAGTTCAGTGTTCGAGTACTTGCCTAGCATGTACAAGCTCCACAAAAACAAAATAAAACAAATAAAAAATAAAAGTGCTTCCCTAGCCATCACCAAGGCCAAGAAGTCCCATACAATGATCAGAGCTCTCAAGCTGGTGTCAAGTAGACATGTTACATTTGGCTGGCATAGAATTTGGTTATAATATTTTGCTAATTTTTAAATTGTCTTATTTTGAAGTTAATTTACAGTTATAAACTGACAAAAATAATAATACAGAGTTCCCACATTCTCTGTGGTCAACTTTTCCAAAAATAACATCTTACATAACCATAGTACAATTATAGAAATTTAAAAAAAATGAACATTGATACAATGCTCTTAATCCACATGCCTTTTATGAATTTCATCATTTCAAAATAAGCTTTTTCTTGGACCACAATATTTCAAAATCTGGGACCAGCATCACTCAGACTCATTCTTGTCCCTTAGAACTCATTTTAGCCATGGTCCTATGCAACTCTTCTAAGCCTTCAAGACCTTCCTCAAATTTCTCCCCTCCTCATTTTCACTTATTGCCTTCTGTTTCTTAAAGAAAAAGGCATTGCTGGGCAGTGAGTCTTTCACATTCTCACATCCATACCTTCTTGCTCACAACCTCCTTACTGCCTCAATGCAAGACCTGTCCCTCTGTGGAATTCCATGCTCTCCTACTGCCTCACTAGCTCTGAATCCCATCTCCCCTCAAGTCTACAACTCTCACTCTCTACTGGCTCTCTTCCTTCCTTGTAACAGTCATAGTGAAGTCTATCTCAACTTTCAAATGGAAACAAATGACAACAACAAATCCTCTTTAAACCCCATTTTTTTACTCTAGCAATTCCCCTTCATCTTTCCCTCCCTTCATGGACAAAGGAATTGAACATGTATGTACCATCAATGTCTCCACTTCACTCCCTCCCACTTACTCCTTATACCAGCATCACTGAAAAATAATATTAACACCACCAGTGACTTCCTTGCCAAAACTAATGGAAAGTTTTGCCTCTGACTCTGGGGAAGAACACTTCCTCTTAAAAATGCTCAATTCCCTTGACTTCCCTGATACCACTCTTGAAATTCCTCTTTCCTTTCTAGTGGTTCCTTCTCAGATATGCTCAGGTCCCCCAACTTTCTTCTTTTTACTCTACCATTTCTGATGAGCAACCTCTCTAATCCCAGGGCTGTTGGGTATCCCAATCCTCTCAGACATTGAACATTTCCATCTCTCTGACACCAGTTATATCCCATCTCTCTGACACTAGTTAATATCCCTTTTCCTTCTTTCTCCCCCTAGACTATGACATCCTTCAGAATGGGAACTATGTTTGATTTCTGTACCAGCCCTCGGTTCCGGTTCCACAACAGCCACAGACAACTTGGCATAGAACATAGACATTGACTTGTTGGTGGGGATTTTTTGTTTGTTTTGTTCTGTTTTTTTTTTTTTTTTTTTTTTTTTTTTTTTTGTGGTACTAGGGATTGGACCCAGGTTCTTCCACATGGGAGGCAAGCACTCTACTACCAAGCCTCAGACCTTGCCCAAAATATTCTTGTTGAAGAAGTAAATATTAGCAAACTTGACTAAGTCCTATATGGTCACAGTACCCACATTTACATGGTACTAAAAACATCAATTTTACACCCATGACTACAAAGGCAGCTTAATGATTATTTACCATCAGGCTTTGGAATCGGATATCTTGGATTTTCAAAACAAATTAGTACCCTTTTACCAGGAGTGTGACTTTGAACAATTAAGTCCTCAGGACCTTACTTTCTTCATTTTCAATTTGAGATAGTTATCATAACTGCTTCATAAGATTGTCATAATTAAACGTGACAAATACATATATAGTCTTCAGAAGATAACCTAGCATATAGCAGGTAGCAACATTTAATGTTGGTGACAAATAGCAAGTTCATATTATTGTTATTTTAGCATCAGGTAAATACCTGCATGATGTACCGACTAGATTAAGAGCACTATTGGATTTCTATGCTGATCACCAGGAAAATAATCAAAAATCTGCATTCCTTCTGCCACCACTTGGAAACATTCCTCCATTTGATCATTAAATATTTTATTGAGTCCTTACTGTGCTAGCTCTCTGCTTTAGGCTCTCTGTCTTGAATCTTATCTGGCGCTCCCAAAGACCAGGTGATACCTCTTGGCAATCCAATCAAAATGCCAAAGCTTCAGCATTTAACTGGCTCACCCCAAAAGTGAAAGAGAAATTGAACACCTAGCAGCAAGATARACCTATGACTACAGCGGAGACAGCCCGAAGAGTCTCCCGGCCACCAACGACGCCCCTGGAATCCTCAGCCCCGGGCGCCTCTCGCGGGCGGAAGAGCCAAGTCTCCGCGGCAGCCAGAGGCCGGGGCTCCCCTGGAAAGGCTCTTTCTCTAGTCCGGGATCGGATCCCAACGGCTCCGTAGCCAATCTGCAGCAGACCTCTAGGCGGTGTTTGGTACCGCGCCACCCCTGGACTCTGGTCCTCCGCGCCCAGCCCCGAGACCCCAGGCCCCCGCAGACCGTCCCCCACCCCCGCGGGAGGCCGGGATGCACTGCACACGCGCACACTCACAGCAGCCCTCGCCACCGAGGCCGACGCGCACCGGCGACGAGCAGCCAAGTCTTCCCAGTACACCCGTCGCCTGCCCTGTTTCGGGCGGGCCCGAGTCTCGTGCGTCCTTTAAAGGCCGCGCCCCGACTCCCCACGTCCCCGCCCCCACCTACACACACCCTGGTCCTGCTGTCCTCCCAGTGGTTTGCATGTGCGCCGGTGCTTTCCTTTTAAGACTTAGGGGAACTCCAGCGGTAATAACCACACGCACTTCCCCTTAATCAGTGGCCTGGCAAACCCACTCGGGGATTTCCATGACCCTCCACATGCCTGACTTAACTGTGACATATCCGTGTGGCATTTACTGAAAGACCTTTGCTTCATTGTTCCTGGGTCAGAGGAAATCTTGACAACCGATATAGAGATCATTGGTCAGCCTGACTGGAAGAAGTCAACGCCTCTGCCTCCCAACCTCCATCCACCATGTGCTTTACAGATTAAAATGTTAGATTTTTCCAATCTACTAAACATAAAGTTCGACATTAAAAAAAAAAAAAAAAACTGAAACTCTGCAAAATCTTTCTAATTATTTTCACTTTTTGTTTTGCTCCATAAAGGAAGCCTAAGTGCTGGGTATGGTGGCTGCAGCTTGTAATCCCAGCTACTCAGGAAGCTCAGGCAGGAGGATCTCAAATTGGAGTCCAGCCAGGGCAATTGAGGGAGACCCTGTCTCAAAATAAGAGGTGTTTTTTTTTTTTTTTTTTTTTTGAGGGTTGGGAATGTAGCTCAACACAAAAGCATTTGTGCAAGTGTGAGGCCAAGTGTTTAATCCCCACCAGTACCAAAGAGGGGGAGGGAAGGAAGCATAGGATTATGTAAAAAGATATCATGCAACTCTCCTTTATAGTTTATTTTCACTGTTTTAAAGGTTGGAATTGTCTTAATACGTGCGTTGTTTCTGTCAGATGATATAAAGGATGGCTTGACCTAGTGGGGAAAAATCTTCCTTTTAGCCTCTTGTGTTACAAAGGAAGTCTCTGGGACATAATATTTACATTCTCACAGACACCTGAAGTCTTTGAGTCTAACTGCATTGCTATATTTCCCTCCACATTCTCTGTTTAAGCAGTAAAGGTAAGCAATTTTATCTAAGAACATTACATGCCAGGTTAACAAATGGATTGAGAGAGCTCATCTGATTTTTGTGTCTTCTGGTGGATTAAAGACAATCGAAGACAGAACCATAAAGGTTATGCAGTATTTTCATCATCCCATGGGCATGGAATACAGCACATTCAACACAAAATTGGACTGTGCTGAGACATCTTCTGGTTAAGGTGGATTTGACTGTTCTTAACAGCTAAAGCTCCATATGCAACTATTAGAAAGACTAACTTCATTTGTCACATGGAGATTTCAATCCATTTTCGAGCCTTAAAGACTTTCTAAACCATTTCTGGCTCACTTTTGAGATTATTGAAATATTTTTGTGACCCTTACACCAGAAGAATTTTGAAAAAAAACTTCCCTGGCCTTTTTGTGTCTGTGCTAGTGGGGGGTTGGACAGGAGTCTCACTATGTTACCCAGGCTGGCCTTGAACTCCAGGTCTCAAAGGATCTTTCTGCCTAGGCTCCTGAGTAGGGGTGTGACATGGTGCCCAACTCCCTTGCCCATTTTTAACTTAACATTAAAACATAAAACTTGCTGTCCTTGCAAAGGATCTACAAAATGTAAACATAGGGTTTTTTTTCTTCTCTTTTTATACCAGGGATTGAACCCAGGGATACTTAACACTGAACCACATCCCCAGCCCTTTTTATTTTTTATTTTGAGACAGGATCTCAATGAGTTGCTGAGACTGGCTTTGAACTTGCAATCCTCCTGCCTTGGCCTCCAAAGCTGCATGTGCTATTTACACCCAACAAAAAAATTCCTTCTTAATTTGTTATCATTGACATTATATTCATTACTGTAAGTACACAATTTGGTCAAAACAATATAAAAATATTACAAATGTTAGTAGCTATTAAAGACAAATTAAAATTTTATTACAAATGCAATTTTAAAGCGGATGCAGCTTATCTTTCAATAAGTCATTCAAATGTGCATTTATAAATCTTACCCATTGCYATAATACAACAGGATTCAGCACAGATTCTATTCCTTTTTTGCATTTTTATAGATCATAAGTCTTGAAGAAGACTTTTCAAATAAGTAGAGAGGCCCAGGAAAAATAATTATAGCAAAATTCTTCATAATTTTGAATATCTGTTTTATATCCCAGAAATCATTTAGTGGCATCTAATTAAAAACATTACTTAGTTATCAGTGGGGAACTCAGTTTTGTTGAAATCAGTGACTCAGAAAACACTAAATTTTTGTTACCTAGATTAGGGTTGCCAGAGTTAGCAAATTAAAACACAGCCTGCCTGTAATCCCTATGACACAGGAGGCAAGAGGATCACAAGTTTGAGGCCAGCTTCAGAAACTCTGTAAGACACTGTCTCAAAATAAAAACTAAAAAGAACTGGGATACAACTCAGTGGTAAAGCACCTTTTGGGTTAATCCCTAATACAAAAATGAAAAAATAAAAAAGAATGTGCCTTGCAGTATTTGGAACATACCAATGTTAAATATTTTAATTATTATTATTATTAATTATTAGCTGAAATTCAAATAAAAATGTAATTCCTGTATTTTATCTGGCTATCTTATTCCCAAATATTAGAGTACATAATTAATTTTCTCAATGCTAACATGAATTATTTTAAGTTGTTCAGGAAGTCTTTACACTCAGGGCCAATATACTGTTTTAAAATTCAGGGTGGGTGAGAAGTGAACCTGAGTTCCCACTTACCTAATAGTAAGTGTTACCACCCAAGGGGACACTTTTCCCCATTTACAGACCACAGTGTAGGAAATCCCTGAAATAATTAAGGTTTCTGAATTTTTCAAACTGATAAGGAGAGGTAGGATCAGATGTATCTGATCAACACATCTCCTTTGCAATTTTGCAAGACTATTGATTAAAAAAAAACAATTGTTTTCCTGGATAAATTCTAACTTGCATATGGGCAGGGACAGAATATATTTTGCTCGATGCTTTATTCTTTCTCTAGCAGGGCATTTGCACATGGTACCATTGTTGACTAACAAAAATTAACCAAGGCTTTCTCCATTTTCAACCAGCATTCAAATTTTTAATAGTATAGGGTTAGGAAGTTTCCTTCTAACCCTTTGATATTGCAAATGTTTTGTATAAGAACTCCCTTTACCTAAATATATTTTCCATGTAAATACTCTTTTAGAGACAGAAACAATTAAGGAAGTGTGGGGAAGGTGACAATGTTGGCATAGAGCCTGCCAGCTTTCTTCTGCCAGCTTTCTATTACTATCATGTGTGAGCAAAGTCTGAGTGAGAGGGGTTTTCACCTCTTTCTTGGCTTAGAACTCTGATAACCCTTTAATAGTGAAGGATTTTCAATATCCTATTATTAAATAATCAAAAGTATTTTTCCCTTGAAGCTAATCATGCTCTTTTAAATGGGAATTTCATGTAATAAGAATGCTCTGAAGACATCAGTTCCAGCCTAATTCTTTTTTTACTGGAAGCTCATATATATATATATATATATATATATATATATATATATATATATATATAGAGAGAGAGAGAGAGAGAGAGAGAGAGAGAGAGAGAGAGAGATTGATTCTACCCAGGAATCCAGAACTGAAAGTGAAAGTGCAATGTAACAGAGAACATTCTGTTCTGATTCCAAAGTATGAGAGTCATTGTAGATACTGGGAATTTCCCAGTCTATTGACAATTTCATGTTGTCTCATAAATAAAATACGATTATACCATCCTTGAACAAGTGCTAGTAAAGATCAAATTTACAAAGAGACATGCTATGCCACAAACTTGTTCTGAAAATGAAGTTTTCCGCTTATAAATTGTGGCTTATTTTAATTTATCCTGACAGTATTATAATATATAATTTACATGATGCCAAGTGTATAAATCTTAAGTATACATTTCTATGAATTCTGACAGAGGATATGCTCAGGTCACTATCAACCAGGAGCAATATCAGAAACTGTTTTCTATCATCTCATGTTATTGTTTGCATATTAGGTATTCCCCAAAAGCTCCTGTTAATGCAGAAATATTCTGAGGTGAAATGATTGGATTATGAGAGTTGAAAACTAATCTAGTTTATCCTACTTTGAATGAACTAACTGGGTGATAACTGGAAGCAAGGGGGTGTGGMTGGAGGAGGTAGACTACTGGGGGCATGTCCTGAAAGGGTTATTCTTCCTGCAGCCCCTTCATATCTCTATCTTTATCTCCCTCTCTCTCTCTCTCACTCCTTCTCAGCTGCCATGAGGAGAACAGCTTCCCTCTGCCACACCTTTCTGCCATGACATGCTGCCTCACTTTGAGCTCAGAGCAATGACACCGGCCATCTGTGGACTGAGACCTCTGAAATCGTGGGCACCAATTCAACTTTTTCTCCTCTTCGTTGTTCTTGTCAGGTATTTTTCTGACCATGTGGTTCAGAATCCTTTAGAGCTAATTGGCAGGAGTGATTTTGAAAAGTGTAGAGATGCAAGCTGGGAAAGTTTTAGAATGTTGTAAGCAGAGCTTAATGGTCAATTCTGGTGGAAGCTCAGAAGTCCAGAACATCCATAGGAATGCAGACTGTGTTCATGAGGTTTCAGAGGGAAATAGGGACTCTCTTGGGAATTGGACTAGAGGCAACTCATGTTATATTCTGGCAAAGAACTTGGCTACATTTTGCCATGTCCTGAGATTTTGTGTGAGACTGAATTAATCTGGTGAATGATATTTCACAGCAACACAGCATTCAGTTAGTGACACAGATGTTACAGGCAACTTTTAGCTGGATTTACTATGAGAATTGGGAGCAGAAAGCAGAGATAAAGTATTTTAAAAACTTGCAATTGGCCAAAAATGTGCATGTAAAGCTAGGGCTAAGGAAGTTGTGCTTATTGAAGAGATTACAGCACCTAAAGAGGTGCTAAGTACTTTTCACAGGCAATAGGAAAGATGGTTTGAGGACATCTCAGAAATTTGCAAGACCCATTTCCTTG